TTATATAGCAATAAAGAAAGGCTTTTTGGATGAAAAATTAAGGAAGAAGTGACGACATTGCCTCTCATTTTATGTAAAGTCAGCGAGCAAAAAGAAATCCAAGGCAAGAAAATTGAAAAATAAAATAATTTTCAACTCTTCATTTATTAGTCTTTCCTGACTTCTTGCTGCCTTTCCTTCTTTCCTTTGTTTTGATGCCTCAAGTCGCGTTTCATTTTAATCATGTTGATTTATTCCATCATCAAATTTGAAGATCCTTTCCCGTCAATTTCCTTCCGGACGCATCATCAAAATATGAATAGAATGATGAGGAACTCATTCCATTTCCTCACTCCTTTGTCCCTTTCTCCTTTTCGTATAATTGACCGAACCTTTTTCTGTTGGTTTACTTCTTCTTTTTTGTACAGATGTAGTCGAAGTTTTTAATGAAATTTCCTATCAATTTTCCTTTACCCGTCTGCTACTCATCATCCTTTTTTTATTTGAAATCATATAAAAACGCGCCACAAATCATACCACTAACTATATAAAGTCACTTTAGACGTTCTTCAATCTTTTCTTCTTTGCATGAGCGACTTTTTGTGGGAGTTGAAGGTTTAATGTTGCAGATTTTGGTTGTTGTGTCTGACTGGGCTGTTGGTAATAAACATTTTGCCTCACTAAAGCAAATGCTTAAGTAACAGCACTTTGATTTCTATCTATGTCCAATACAAAGAATAGCAAAGAACTGTCAACTAATTCTTATCATCACTAAATCTCGTTCATCGACTCAATAGAATCAGAACTAAATTTCAGAACGTAACTGCCATTTTTCATTTCCATCATCCCAAGAAATGCGCTGAAAACATCATCCATCCCTTAATTAACTTCTCCTTCCTCTCCAAAGCACAAAGAGTTGTTCGACAGAGAAAAAAAAAGCTTACAAGTCTTCCGACTTAAAAGGAAGGAGCAAAAAAAAAGAATTTTCAAGTTGAATGAAATGAAAGATGATGAAGAGCGATTTTGATCTTTATTGTTATGTACCATTCCTGATGTTGATGCCATATCAATGATATTGTTGTTGCTTCAACCAAGTTAAAAAATGAAAGAGGAATGAAGAAGGAAACTTGAGAGGAAATTGAAAAATTTTTATGTGACGAAGGAAAGAAAGGAATGAAATCTATTTTTTCACGCTCCAATAGACACCCGACTTCAAACTTATTTTACAATCGCATAAAACATATTCAAGATACATGACATCATCCGCATTATATTTCTCATGGGATCCATTTGATAAGTACACGCTCTGTCTTGTCTCCCCATACAATGTTCTTCTATCCTTTTATTCCATTTTCATCTTTTTTCTTCTTTATTTCTTTTCATTTTTATGATGTGATAGTTATGAGAATGAGAATTGAAACTATTAAATCTATATCCCATTTTTCGCTTAAACTACCATGTGGGAATTGAATATTGGTTTTGGGTAGTAATAATGAATTATTGTTGGAAATTCTTTTGAATCATTTAAATTTTGGAGTTTGGCATTGAAAATTTGAATTAGTTGCGAGTAAAAAGTTCAAATGCCAAAATTCACTAAAATATGCTTTATTTATCTAGAAAACAACATGATCTAATCAATTTCATTCATCACCAAGGCATTCTACTAAACTACAAACGAAGATTGCATGACTAGCAGTCATTGACCACTATTCAAACATTTATTCACTCCTTTGTTATCCAACACCAATAATTCCAAATATTATTAAACCACGAACCGCTTAGAAGTTTATCCTTTATCTTTCTCTACACATATTTGCTCTACTTTCCTCTCCACAACACCATGATTATGCACCGAATGAATATGCATTAAACTTTATTGCAATCTATTTTCTATACAATGAAAATTTACTATCCGGTTAAGCTCTGGCACTTTATTTAATTTCGATCCATAAAGCTATAGCTAACAAATTCCATTATCTGTACGGCTAAAGATTACAATCATGCAACTTTATAGTCTCTATGATATGTTTTGTGGATTGGGTTGATTAAAACTATCTAAAGGTGAATCGCTTTAATCGTTATGTGCAAGAAGTTTTCCTTGGAGTTGTGGTGTAAAGTGTGGAATGATGTTTGGGGGTTTGAGGATGTTGAGAAGTTTTTGTTAATGAATGTTTGCAGGTTGAACTGTGAGAAAAATGGAAAAAATTGATGAAAATTAAATAGAAATGAGAAAAATTGAAAGCATGTAGAAGAAGTTGAATTAAGGAGTTTAACAGGAGCTAAGCCAATGATATTCTTGGTTCTGTGCCCTTGGACAACCTTAAATAAAGTCAAGAATGTGATAAAGATTCACAAGACAGTTAATCAGTTCCACACTCTTGGAATAAATGAAAAATTCCAGCAAATTTTAAACATTAGCCTTTTTCAGTTCAATCATTTACATTCTCAATGTCACACCTACTTCCATAATCCTTCAATCACCCATCACTGCCATACATATAATAGTTTAAAACTATTCATAAACTTTTTTCAAGGTTATTGCGAATTAATGACGCCGGAAAAGTAAGGCAAAATGAATGAAAAAGGTGACATGAAATGAAAATTTATAGCTTGGGAAAGTTTCATTCTCATTCTACACGAAACAGAAGCAACAAAAAAGGAGAAAATTTTCGCTCCATTTGATTAATTTCCTTTAACTCGCTCATTGAAACTTGATAATTTATAAAATGAAGAATTAAGTTTCGTGTTTCTTTTTTTGTGGTAAGTTTTGCTCATTAAATATTAGTTCTTATAGTTCCTCGTCGAGTGAATAGAATATTGTTATAAAGAAGAAATTCATTAAACTTTCAACCATCAAACTGCAACTAAGCTTAGCTATTTAATAAGTAAAAGATAATACAAAAGATGAGAATTCTCGTGAGAATTGCTTTTTCATTTAGTTAAAAGAACATTTTTTGCATTCAATAAAAAGAAAGGAATGGAAAAATTTAGCTGGAATTTTATGAATATGATGACTGAATATAGGATGGTTTGTCCATATTAGCCTTTATATATTCCTATGTTAAGTCAAGCATTAAAAACTTACTTCTTACCATGAAAATTAGAGTTTTCAATAAATTTCATGATTATGTACATTTTAATTCCTGGATTCTAAACCTTAATCCAGAAAAGATGCGTTTCCTGTACTTAAAAACTTCAAAATTCACCACCATTTCATCCACAACTCTTAAACAAATCGTGTCTGTTAAAAAATTTTAAATGCAATTTTTTCCCTTTCTTCTCTTTTGCTTCTCATTCCACATCTCTTACTCACTCACTCAAATCGCATTACAATAAGGTTTTCCTTGCAGTATTTTAATAGAAAAAATTTTCCCATTAAATAATTCAGCAGTAACAGCAGCGATACAGTCAGTGTATTTTAATTCGACGAAATGTTTCGTAAATGAAATTCCACACATAGGAAAAATTTCGGAGGGAATTCACCCTCCTGTAAAATTCTCTTTTTAAATATATGTATTCGTGTATGTGTCTTATTATCATACAGTACAGTGAAAGTGAAAATTTTTCCTGTCTTCAATATAAATTAATGCCATTTCACATTATTACAATCACCATAAAAACATAAATACCCAAAGAAGAAGTAGAATCAGAAATCCCGATGTGCAATATGTGCATCTTGGCGTGACGACAGTAATAATAGTAAGATGATAGGAATTTTCACAGAGGGAGTTGCTTCTTATTGTTCCAATCAATCATTTAAAATTCCGATTATTGCACAGTAAGTTTTATTCCTTGCTGTTTCCCCTTTTTTAACACCACTTTCAACTTGTGTGTTTTACAATCCCACATAAAATGTAAATACTTTTTATCTATCGACACATACTTTGACAATGGCCATGAATGTCCCCTCGAGTAAAAAAAATATAAAATTCACATGTGTTTTATATTGGATAGATTTTATGTTAAAGATATTTAAAGAAGCTAAGAGTCTTAACTCGTAAGATAAAATCGATTGACAAAACTATAAAGTGCTGACAAATTCATGACGTACTGACCAGATTATTGATGGAGTATTTTGTTGACGAAGATTACGAGGCATTACAAACTGAAGCAGTTTTACTTGATGCAGACTTATTATAAATTTGAGCATTGAGGCTGCATCTAATAGATTAAGTTAAATAGTTGTCATTTAATGAACATTAATATCTTTCCCATCATAGCTTAGTTGGTGAAAGCCAGTTAAGAATTCTCCGTTAAGATAAGGGTTCGATTCTCCAAAATTAAATATCTTGCTTTAATTGAAAGCCTCTGATAGGAATCAAACCAATGTCTTCCTATATAGAAGTTTAAATTGTCTAACGACTCGACCCAAAAAGCCTTGCCTCTCACACTTACAGATTCAACTCTTTATGTCACAATAACTCAGATTCAACTCAGATTCAACTCTGCTTCATCACTAAAACGATGATTATGCATCCATTCAAAATCAATTATCAACAAAGTTTTGATATCTTCGCAAGTATTTTAACAAACAAAGCAATTCGATTAATTCAACAACAATGTGTTAATAGCCATCATTTGTTAACCTGTTTTTTTTTCTACCAATTTTTTAAAAAATTGCCCAATAATTCTACAATGTACGTACGAAAGAGCAGGAAAAGTAACTGAAGAAATGCGATTGAAAATAACCTTGACGGTTCATACGCAAGTCATCATTTACATTCTTGTCATCTTTAATTACACACTTAGGATAGTAAACAGAATGTTTTGAGGAAGGTTCAATTTTTGGACCTTCGAGAATGTGTTGACGATCGTCCTAATTGTTTTGATAGGATTATCAGTAATTCATCAAGTATGAGTTTAGGAGGATATGTACCGCATAGTATTGCTTAAGAAGCACTGACTTTTAAAAAAATTTTTTTGTCGAATTCGAGACTTAAGTACAAATATGACCTCTGAGAACAGATAAAGGAATATATTGCTGTAAACCATCCTGATAAAAGACAATGGTGAATTAATTTGCACTCTAATTAATTTTATTTTGACTACAGACTTCTACAATAATTCTTTGTTTTTATAACTTCCCATTTTTCATGTCTTTTTCATCATCCGGATTAATATCAGGATCACCATAATCCCATAATTTACTTTCTTTCAAATAAGTACTTGACAAAATATGGCTTCCATCTCCTGTTCTTGCAACCCTTCTTGCTATCATGTGTCGAGGTGCAAATTTTCTGTCATAGATTAATCCGAAAAATGCCAGAAGATTAATAAAAAGACTTGATAATGATGTGATGTGTGCAATCCCAAAGAGCTCATTGGCCCTATAATCAAACGGAAATGCATGATGAAAATTGTGATATCCTTCGCCAAGTGTAATTAAATTGTAAAAATCATTGTCAATTGATGTTCCTGTTTTGTCATAAGGCTTTCTTCCATTCCAGTGCAAAAAGCTGTTTCCAACTATTTGTTGATAGATATTAAGTCCATACCTAATCATATTTAATCCAAATCCAATTAGTATTGTTTCATTCCAGAAGTAATATGGAATTATTGTGGGAAGTGCTATAGTTATTAAAACATAAAGTATTGGATAATATCTGCAATAATAATCAATTAATGCCAATAAATTTAGCTATGGAAATAAAAGTCTCACTTAAGTTGAAAGTTCAAGTCGCTGTCAGCCGTTATATCATCCATATAAATTCTTTCCAATTCTCTTTTACATTCAGGTGTTTGTTCAATTAAAAACCAACCAATAGCTGCATGAAGTAAGCCATACTTCATACTCGTAGGATCTTTGTCTGTATCAGCAAATTTATGATGAGTTCTATGAACTCTGACCCACATGCTTACTGTTCTCTAAATGATAAAAAGAAAATATCTATTGATCAACTCTGAAGGTGCTTCTCTCCTAATATCTTACAATTCCTGATAATTGCTGACAAAAAATCAAGAATATTTTTACTGCTCGATTAGTTTTAAAGGATCGATGGCAAAAATAGCGATGAGCTCCAGGTCCTAGTCCAAGACCACCAACTATGAAGGCTCCAAATGCTGGAAAAATTCAACAAATATTTTAAATCTATTTTTTTTTTCTGTTCCATACAAGCCATACTCACTAAATATATAAGTAGGTCCACGAACATCTTTAAAGGTCATACAATAAATTCCTATTGTAACTCCAATAACAATGAACAAAGCCATCATCACCATTGGCCAAACAAACTTTATTACATATTTCTTTTCCGTTACATCTTTTGTGTTTATCTCCATTTTTTAATATCCTTCTTGCTTGACGTGTAAAGTAATACTGAAGCTCCAAAAAAAATCATAAGCTACAAATTAGAATCGTAATGGTACTTCCCGAAACTTCTTAAGTTATTGCCAAAACAATTTATCACTAATTAGGAAAAATATGAAAAGAACCGTGTAAAATCAAGTTTCTCTAGCATCATGTTTTAAGATCATAGTCCACGTCACGTACGACTATCGGTCGTTCACATACAATGAGTTGTAATGTAACGTTCATTTTGATATAAGAGTTGTTTAGGAGCTATTTAACAGTCTAGACTCTAGAAAGATTTTTGGTTTGAAAATAAGATGTTTGGATTGACGTCATTGATGACTGTTTCAGCTGAGTCTAACCAATAATTTACCATTTTTTTTTACTTTTTTAAAAATTCACAGTAATTTTTATTGAACTGTTAATTATTTTCACAATTCTTTGAGTCTATTCCTTGAACCTTATTTATCGTTGCCATTTAAGTCTACAACAGAACCACCATTTTCTAATAACTTGCATTGTTTTAAATATGAATCTGCCAAAACATGACTTCCATCACCAGTTCTTGTTACTCTTCTGGCTATCATTTGTGGTGATGCGAATTTCCGATCATAAATTAATCCTAAAGCTGCAAAAACATTAACGAAAAGAACTGATAATGATGTGATATGTGCAATTGAAAACAGCTCATTTGCCCGATAATCAAACGGAAATGCATGATGGAAGTTGTGATATCCTTCGCCAAGTGTGACTAAATTGTAAAAATCATTGTCAATTGCTGTACCTGATTTGTCATAAGGCTGTCTTCCATTCATATGTAGGAAGCTATTTCCAACTATTTGTTGATAAATATTCAATCCATGTCTAAACATGTTCATTCCGAATCCAATTAAAATTGATTCGTTCCAGTAATAGTATGGAATGATGACTGGAAGTGTGATTGTTATTAAAGCATACAGTATTGCGTAGTACCTGAAATTATGATTAATTGGTACTTGATGTAAGTTTTAGAGATAAAAGTCTCACTTGAGTTGAAAATTCAAGTCACTGTCAGCCTTTATATCATCCATATGTATTTTTTCTAACTCAATCGCACATTCTGGTGTTTGTTCAATCAGAAACCATCCAATAGATGCATGAAAGAAGCCACGATTTATATTCACTGGATCTCGGTCAGTGTCGGAAAATTTGTGATGAGTTCGATGGACTCTGACCCATGTATGAACTGATTTCTAAAGTTTTAAATGTTTATGAGTTAATAAAAAAATCACAAGATGTAATGTAACGTCTTACAACTCCCGACAATTGTTGGCAAAAAATCAAAAATATTTTCATCGCTCGATTAGTTTTATAGGAACGATGGCAAAAGAAGCGATGAGCTCCTGGTCCTAATCCAAGACCCCCAAGAATGAAGGATATAAATGCTGGAAGATTACAACGAAACATTAATATCTTCCTAATTCCTGGAGACAACTTAAACTTACTAAATAAATAAGTAGATCCACAAACATGCTTAAAAATCATGCAATAAATTCCTGTCAATATTCCAGTAGCAATGAACAGAGCCAACAGCACCATTGGCTTTACAAACTTTATTTCATACTTCTTTTCTATCACATCCTCTACTTTTGTTTCCATTTTACAACCTACTAGTTCCACGACTACACCAAGACTGATGGCCTTAACAAAAAGTACAAAAAATTAAAATTTAATTTTTTTCTTCTCGAAATAAATCTTTGAATGTCATATGTTTGTCCAATGAGGTCCAATGTATTTTTTTAATTACGAATTTTTTTGTTCATTTCCATAGTTTAATTAAACGAATGCTAAGCATTACAAATGTACATTATTAATCAAATGCAACGTAAAACTTCTTTTAATAGTAAGAAAAAGAAAATGTACGCAAAATTCTACAAATTTTTACGGTAATATGAAGGGACATTAGGATGTAATGTAACTCTAAAGTGAGAACAATGTCAGAAGATAAAAAGTTTTGATTTCTCAGATGAATTTTGTTGCAAAGAATTCAGCATAAACTTGCAAAGATGTAGAGCAAGGATTTATAGTGGGAATTTCGTATTCAATATCAAAATTGCAAATAACAGGTCATTCTATAAAGCCATTGTACATCAAATAGGCTAATTTGCAAATAATTCTTTTAGAATTTTCAAAAATTACGCATGCCAATAACCTTCAAAATAAGATCATAGCTTGAAGTTAAAAAAAAACTTCTTGCAAAATTCGTGTAGAATTAACGCTTTATGAACACCATTGTGACACAAACCAAGTAGTTTCATCTATTTGATGTATATCTATATCTATATCTTCAATTGGTTTCTCGATCATTTCAATTCGCAACACTCAATATCTTTAGAGAAATTAAGACTTTTTTCATAAACAAAATTAGAGTCCCCCATTGAGTTGTTCATTTAACCAGCAAATGAATAATTAATTAAGAAACAGGAAGAAAAAAAACTGGTTTCTATATCTCCAAGTGTAAATGCTGTCATATGACATTTGTCAATTAAGACAATCGACATAATAATAAGACTGTCGTTAGAATTTGCATTTTTAATGGTTCACTGTACAGGACAAAAGGTAGACGAAGCAGCAGTCGGTTTGTTAGTATTCCTAGGACATAACCTAAATGTTAAATCCTGGTAATGTCTCGGGAAGAAACGCACAACCTAGTTAGATAAGCTAGAGCAGAGCAAATTTCATAGACCTGAAAAAGGTCATGAACCTCAAATTTAATAATAAATCTCAAGACAACTTCATAATTTCCACAAATCCCAAGAAACTTCATCATTATCACTAATTGAAAATCTCATAATAGCTATTAGACGTTCCCATTCTAACCACAAAAGCATGTCTCTTTGATATTTCAGAACAAAAAAACAGAAATGCTTTTAGGGCATAAATCTATTAAGCAAACAGCTTCACAGTCACCATCAAAGTGAAATTCTGTGTAATTTGAGTCGAGAATGTGTTGGAATTGCCAGTCAAAATTAACATCGTTATCCATAAAGTGCATTAAAATAACAGCTTAATTGCAAAAAAAAGGCAGCAGCACATAGCTGACACAAAAAAGTGGGGAGTTTTAAGGAATGAAAATCTAAGTGTCTCAAAGGAATTCCAACAACAAGCTTTGTGGCTGTGCTCATTGTAAAATATGAATTTGCATGTTTTTGTGTAATTTAATAATGAGAATCTCTGTGGGGTTTTATGGCAGATTTCTGTTGATGTAAGCTACATACATGACATAACAGACGACAGTATCATCAACAATAATGAACATAAATTGCATGTTGTCTCTATACATCCATTATCATGTCACACAAAAAAGTCAGCATAATGCAAAATTAAAATTGAGCATTCAAAATATCAAGAAATTCATCTTTTACCCTCTCTTGTGACTTTTTGACTATTCTTGCTTACTTTTTACAGCACATAAGTAATTGCAGGGCAACATTTCAAATGGAATTCCACTTTTTGTTGAGAATTTTATTATAATACGATGTATAACGTTGTGGATTTTTACTGGAAGGGTTGAAAGAAATGTTTATTGCAATTGAACAACAATCAACCCCTCTACATAATCTACTTTCATGCCACACGGGAGGCTAACATTGAAAAAGTGAATTTTATTTTTTTTATTTATTTTTGAAATTATACTCGGTGCTCATTTTGAGGAAGGGATGCTGTTACTATTTTAATTTGTCTGAATTTAGGTTATTTTGCAATCTATTATATATGAAGACAATGAGACAGGGATTCTAATCTCTTTTTGCTTGATAATACGGACCAAGGCAAGATAGTAAACTTAAAAACAAATAGTCCGATGACTAAGCAACCAAATATAGTATGTAATTAGATCTTACTACGAAGGTCAACTTGATGCGTTCTATATCTATCAAATAAATTGCTAAAATACTTCAACTAGTTGTAAAATCAAGGAGATTCCCAAATTTTCAATTGAGTAACAACAGAAACAACAAATGATGAGCAAATAATCGCATTTTGCGAATAGATTGGAGAAAATAAATCAAGAAAAGTACTTTTGTTATCATAACGGGAAATAAAATTTAAAGATTCAATTGCTTTTGATAACAGACTAAGTACAATGGAAGTAATTATAAATGTTTGTCATTTGATAATGTTATCTTTTCGGAGAAATTTAGCTCTTTTATTAAGAACGGACTTCCTAATTTTTTTATTGTTGCATTATCTTATCAAATTCGCGAATCACTGATTAGTTATGGGAAATTGAGGATTTTGGGATGGTTTTGATTGAACTTGAATTTAAGGTCATGATAAACTTTAAAAATTGAAGAATGAAGCCTTTACAATTTATGAAATTCCCGCTTGAAGATATCTAAACGATTTGATTGCCAAACGACCATTTTTGAAACCTGGATCAAACATTCGCAACCAAAAAGTATTGCGTTTGATCTTAAATAATTGTATAAATCCACTTATCCAGTTCCATTACTAAATATTCCATTGAAAAGGGGCTTTAAGGTTTAAAAATTATGAAAGGTTTATTTCCATTCAACAACAGATTAATATTTTTATTCCTAGACTCAAGTGTCTATAAAAATTACGCAATAGCATAAAAATACGACGATTACTTTTTAATCTTCAAAGAAATTCCTTCCTTTTCCAAAACATTTAAATGAGAAATTCATTTTTTTGTTAATGGTCATCATGAGTGTCATTTGCATATGAATACACACAATTTGAAAAGAAAGGGATCCGAAAAAAAAAGTTGAGGACACTTTTAATGAAATTTTATGCAAATCAACAGAAATGTGTTTAGACAGAACGCAGCAGCAGCAAAAAAAATATGTTAAATTGAATGAATATTCAGGAAAGTAATTTGAATGCATTAAAATCTTTTAATGTAATTTATTTACTGGCACTGGATTGAGAGGCGACAACGTGTCAATTAGAATCAACAACGGTATGCAATAACCCTGAATGTTCATGATACTTGGTTGCTTAAAAGGTCTTAATATTAGACGGTTTTCTAAAATTTGAGAGATTAACGATTCTTAAAGTTTTGAAATTTCAGGTTCAATTTTTGAACTTTTAACTAAAATCATTGAAATTCAAATTTCAAAAAACCGTTTCAATTCAAAAATCATTTTTAACTCGGGTCAACTGGATATAAACTTCAACTGTATCTGATAGCAATCAAATAACTACTAATTTGATGTATGTCACACACAATATTAATGGATTAAAAACTCCCGGTTTTTAATATTCAATTTATTTTTAAAATCCTTTTTAAAGGGTTGAGAATGATAAATTTTAGTTTTGTGTCCGTCACATTTGCATGCAGCAACACGCTCCAAACGTGAGCACGTAAATTGAAAGCAATTTCACTCGCAGCACATTGTTTTGTTCAATATAAATGAGATTAATCAGTCAGTGAATGGAAATGATAATTGCCATTGAATTTATTGGATTTTATATAGGGCGATTCCATGAGTGAATTTTTTTTTCTCAACTCAATTTTTTGTAAATATTTCCTTAATTAACTTCATTTAACGCCATATTTAAGATTTATTTTATTTGTTATTATGGTATATATGTATTTTAGTGCATAATCTTTTAGTTAAATCTGTCTGACAAAAGATATTTTAAAAAAACCAAACTTAATCGGTCAACTTTACGAAAAATTGATTTTTAAATTTTCATCAATATTTCTTCGAATATCCATTGTTGTGTTACAAATCTATGATAAACACACGTGAAATCGTCTGTGCTTTATAACAATATCTTATTTGTATGTCTTTCTACTGTAATTAAGGAGAAAATTGGGGAAAACACCACTTAATCGGTCAACTTTCAACCGATTATTGCAAAACATATTACATATTTTTGTCAAAATGCAGCATAATTAAGACTATTAAATGCTAATAACACATGAATTGATGAATAATAAGTCTTATTAAGTGAAAATATATGTTGAAATATGTATAATTAAGCAGAAAAATCTAAAAAAGTTTTTGAACAAAAAATTTTCAGTTCCATTTACTCATGGAATCGCCCTATAGTGAATATTTACTAGAATCGTTGGCTCGTTGAATGTTATAGTTAAAAGCGGTTAAGAGGATTATAGGTGATTATTGAATTTAATGTGACATATTAACGGTGGGCATTTAAGAATGAATGGATGCGGGGAAAGCATTTCATTTGTTTATACAAAGTAATTGATTGATATTGTCACAACTTAAAGCTCCATTTCTCATTTAAACTGACTCAATTTATATTCTCATACTTAAAACTGTCTCATTTAATCATTTTATCACTTAAGTACCTACATGCTGACTACACCATGAATAGCTTGCGGCAAAAATCAATCGAAATAGCCATTTAATGTAGATATAAAGCAACTCACTTAAATCATAATAATGCAGCTTACTGAAAACTTCAATCGCTTTCATTTAAGCAACAACTATATCCACAAGAGGTGAAGTACATAGCTATGAGCAAAATAATAATTGTAATTATTCAAGAAAAAGAAAGAAGCGTAAAAATGAGAATTTCAGTAGCTGGATATAAAGAAGATGAGATTGGCAGGTATCATAATAATTATCATAGCTTGAGGGCAGGCACGGGTTTCTTTTTGTAAAAATGCTGTATAAAAATGGACTGCTTAATTAATATTAGGGATGTGTCGATACTATAGTATTCGTAGAAAAGAAGAAGTTTTATACCAGGCATTAATTATAGCCGTCATTTCCTTTTTGAGTTTTTAACGAATATACATTTTTTGAATTTCATGAGAATTTCAATTGAACAACAATAAACATCACGTATTTTAGCAGTTTTGTGAAATTAATTAATTTTAAGGATTTACAAGTAAGTATTAACATAATTAATTACACTGATCCATGGGAGTAATGGTTATTGTTTATAGTGCCAGGAATAACTGATAGCGACTTCACAGAATTGTTAATATCGATGAAAAAAATTAAAGAATCAGCTACTCGAACTGCAGTTGCTCTGGAACAAAATCTGCACTTAACACTTGAAGAATGCCTTCGTTTCCACCGCATACTTGATGATTACATAAACAAGGTAAGTTATATTAGAATTAATAGAAATCCAGTGAATAACTTAAGAAAATTTGAACAAATCCAGCCCAATGTCTTTAAAAGTGAGGACGATAAGACACTTTTCTTATTGACAGTTCATGAACGATTGAGGGAATCACTAAACATCATTCATAATCATCGGTTGATTCATAGTTCTCGACGTCCATATCATCGTTCATAAACCTTGATAACAATAGTCTGACATTAAGGCATAGTCATAAAGTACAAAAGAATGCACTATTAGATAATATCATGAATAAAAGTCGCAACAAGTATTAAAAGAACCAAAACACAAAGTTCATTCACCTTTTTTAATTATTGTCAATTTTCCTCGTTGTATGTCCATTATCTAGTGTATACCCTGTTTTTTCGTTATAAGCTAGTAGCTTAGAAGAATAAAAAAGTGATTTTTTTGGATCACTAGTAGCTTAGTAACGAGTAGTAGCTTAGTAAAGAAATTGAACTTCAATGAAAATTTTGAATTTTTTAACTTAATTAAAGACATTTTGCTATCTTCTCGATTTTATTTCATTGACAATGTCATAAGACATTGAAACTGATACTTAAAAAGTTGAAAAAGATTAATTAAACTATATTTTTAGTAGTAGCTTAGTAAAGATTACAAAAAATTTTCAAGTTCAAAAAAACTTTACTAAGCTAGTAGCTTAGTAACGAGTAGTAGCTTATAACGAAAAAACAGGGTATGTACTTTCACAAGCTTTATTTTGAAGGGGAGAAAATTAATTTTCACTGTGTCCAGACTATAGAATCAATCCAATAAAAGAAGTGTTGACAAAGACAACCGATGTTGGGGGAAAGAAAACGATAGAAATAAACATGGGAAAGGCCAAAAAATATTTATTTGACACACTTTTCTACTCTAATTAAAAAAAGGGAAAGGAAGTGAAATCGTTAAGCATATCTTTTCATTTAGTATTTGCTTTATTTTCTTGTAAATATCGATGGAAGTAAGGGATCGACAATTTTATAGAAATTTCCAAATGATTGAGTGACATTTACATCCCTTGACTTCTAATTATGGACCATCCTTTAGTACAGTACTAATTTTATGAATTACAAAAATAATTAAGAATTTAAACCTTTTAAGGTACAATTATTGGAATATTTCTGATTCGTCCAATAAATGTAATCTAATTGTTAACTTTACAGTACAATATTCTGTGACTTTGACAGCCTGTGATTATTATAATTTTGTGTACGAAAAAATAGGTATTTATAAGCTTACTTGCTATTGAACAATAAACTTAAAAGTAGTATGAATGAAATTCCAGAGACAAAATAAATAAGTCATGTAACTTTAACTTAATTTGTTAACAAAATAAATATCGAATTCTCTGGAACTTAAAAATTATAATTTTGGCAAACGTTTAAAGGCACAATAAAATACTTTATAAAAAAAACTTTTTAAAAAAACTACGTTTTTCGCGTAGACTAAAAAGTAGAAAATAACTTTTATTCTTGGTTGTAAAGAATTTGGTTTTAAATTTTCAGATTATATTTAATAAATTTTTATATCTTAGTCAATATTGTTCACAAAGTTTCGAATAAGTGCACTTTGATCTTATCGTATAACTCAACAACTTAAAAACGTGGGCGCATTAATTTAAGTTTATCATAAAGTATTGATTTCACATAAACTTATTTCTCCTCTTATAATGCGCCCACGTTTTTAAGTTGTTGAGTTATACGATAAGATCAAAGTGCACTTATTCGAAACTTTGTGAACAATATTGACTAGGATATAAAAATTTATTAAATATAATCTGAAAATTTAAAACCAAATTCTTTACAACCAAGAATAAAAGTTATTTTCTACTTTTTAGTCTACGCGAAAAACGTAGTTTTTTTAAAAAGTTTTTTTTATAAAGTATTTTATTTTCAACTTTTTAGTCTTATTCTAATGAAATAGAGAAATAAAGATTATAGGGGGTTCATAGGTTACAGGTGTGTTGAACTTCACTTCGTTGCACTTCGTTACGTTCAACTGTTTATAGATTACAGTAGGTTCATAGGTTACAGGTGTGTTGAACTTCACTTCGTTGCACTTCGTTACGTTCAACTGTTTATAGATTACAGTAGGTTTATAGGTTACAGGTGTGTTGAACTTCACTTCGTTACGTTCAACTGTTTATAGATTACAGTAGGTTTATAGGTTACAGGTGTGTTGAACTTCACTTCGTTGCACTTCGTTACGTTCAACTGTTTATAGATTACAGTAGGTTCATAGGTTACTGGTGTGTTGAACTCCACTTCGTTGCACTTCGTTACGTTCAACTGTTTAAAGATTACAGTGGGTTTATAGGTTACAGGTGTGTTGAACTCCACTTCGTTGCACTTCGTTACGTTCAACTGTTTATAGATTACAGTAGGTTCATAGGTTACTGGTGTGTTGAACTCCACTTCGTTGCACTTCATTACGTTCAACTGTTTATAGATTACAGTAGGTTTATAGGTTACAGGTGTGTTGAACTCCACTTCGTTGCACTTCGTTACGTTCAACTGTTTATAGATTACAGTAGGTTTATAGGTTACAGGTGTGTTGAACTTCACTTCGTTGCACTTCGTTACGTTCAACTGTTTATAGATTACAGTGGGTTTATAGGTTACAGGTGTGTTGAACTTCACTTCGTTGCACTTCGTTACGTTCAACTGTTTAAAGATTACAGTGGGTTTATAGGTTACAGGTGTGTTGAACTCCACTTCGTTGCACTTCGTTACGTTCAACTGTTTATAGATTACAGTAGGTTCATAGGTTACTGGTGTGTTGAACTCCACTTCGTTACGTTCAACTGTTTATAGATTACAGTAGGTTCATAGGTTACTGGTGTGTTGAACTCCACTTCGTTGCACTTCGTTACGTTCAACTGTTTATAGATTACAGTAGGTTTATAGGTTACAGGTGTGTTGTACTTCACTTCGTTGCACTTCGTTACGTTCAACTGTTTAAAGATTACAGTGGGTTTATAGGTTACTGGTGTGTTGAACTCCACTTCGTTGCACTTCGTTACGTTCAACTGTTTATAGATTACAGTAGGTTTATAGGTTACAGGTGTGTTGAACTTCACTTCGTTGCACTTCGTTACGTTCAACTGTTTATAGATTACAGTAGGTTTATAGGTTACTGGTGTGTTGAACTCCACTTCGTTGCACTTCGTTACGTTCAACTGTTTATAGATTACAGTAGGTTTATAGGTTACAGGTGTGTTGAACTCCACTTCGTTTCACTCCGTTACGTTCAACTGTTTATAAATTACCAGTTTTCAATGGGAAATTAGTAACGACTTTCAAAATTTTTCATTCGTTTTATAAAATTTAATTTTTTTAAAGCATTCATTAGTAAAGTACATTAAAAATCACTCGTAAAGATTTTGTGTTTATCCGAACCATTCCTACTACATAACGTGTGGATTCTTAACATAAAGATGCAAATCAAATCTATATGTAACGTATTTATAACGGATTTTCAAATTTAAATTCACTGAATATCATTCATATGTTATGCAAAAATACGTCAAGCCGTTAATAAAAAGAAAAGTCAATTTAATTAAGTTGGTGAAGTGTTATAAATAATGCAATACATTTAAAACAGCATAAATTTATGCTCAATCAATGTGTGCTAAATGCACATCGCATATTAATAGTTATTTTGCATAAATTCGTAACGGACTTAGGCTTAACGGTTTTTTTGAAAATTCAAATTTTCACTTACGAATATTCATGAAAAAATTACATGTCAATTTTTTTGTCTTACCAGAATATCTTTAGCTGCTCAAATTTATGGTATAATTAATAATTAGTAATATTAATTAAACTATAATGAATCATATAAATGACTTTAGAGCATCACATGTATAATATTTAATACAAATCAAAATTTTATATCATTGACATTGGATTTTTTCCCATATAAAAAACTTTTACATAAATTGTACTATAATTAAGCATTTTTGTGTTTCCAAAGTGTTAAAATATTGTATTGTCATCGGAAATATAAGTGCATGCAAAATTTCAGCTCGATTGGAGCAGTAGAAGTGGTCGAAAAATTGATTGCAAGATTTGACCAAGACAAACAGAAAGACAGAAAGACAAGAAAGCAAGTTAAGAAAAACGTGGTAAAAAATATGACTCGAAATCTCAATCGATGCTAATGAAGTTTTAAATTCCTTAGCATTTCGACAATATCATCTTTGGATAATTCATCCTTAGCAGCAGACTTTTTACGACTGAATTCCTTTAAATCACCAACGAGTGCCTTATTTTCATGACAATAAACAATAAATTTATGCCAAATATCTGACTTTTGGAGTGTCTTTACGTTTCCAATAACAACTAGCAATGATTGAGCTCGAGTTAATGCAACATTTAAGCGCTTTTCATTGCTTAAAAATCCAACATGATTTGTTCCAGAACGTACACAGCTAACAAAGATGATTTTCTTCTCACGACCTTGAAATGAGTCGACAGTTCCGATTTCAACTTTTGGATATGTTTTACTAAACATTTCAATCATTCTATTGCGTTGTGCACTATAAGGTGAGATTATTCCGATATCTGATTGTTCAACATGACTTCTAATGGCTCCTTTAGCCTTACTACCTCCTAAAAGTACTTGCATATATACCTTCATAATGAACAATTCACCTTCATTCTTTAAACTGGTTCCAACTTCTTTAGAAAACGATTTATTCGCATGAAAAATGATTGGAAACTCTTCATTGGTAATCAATTTGTGTTTAAGTCTATCAGTTCGCATCGAGACTAGTTGATTGTCATAGAATTGTTCATTTGAAAATTGCATAATTGCTGGATGATTGCGATAATTTTGCTTAAGTTGAACAACAAATTTATGATCATATCCATTATTGGTACACTTGTACTTTTTGTCGTTGTCCATTAAACGTTCCATGAGAGATGTCTGAGAAATTAAAATTTTAAATCAAAGTAAATTTTAACGATTTTTTTTAAATTCAAATAAACTGAACTGAAATGAAGTTGAACTACTGAACAGAAAATTTAAAATTTTTAAACTTTAATTTGCAATTATTAACTTTGTCACTTACTTCCAATCCCATATCCTTTGCAAACGAATTTGTTACAACGGGTCTTAGTTGCTTATGATCTCCAGCTAAAACAACTTGAGCATGAACACCTTTCTTTGATAATCCTAAACCAGATAATGGAATGTAAGATTCTGGCTCACTGACAAATCCAGCTTCATCTGTAAATTAATTAAATAAATAATATAAAATTTCATAAGTTGCATATGATCCCAAGATTAATCCGGTGGATTTAAAATAAATCCAGTGAATTTAAAATAAGTAGAACTTACCAATGAAGATGTAATCAAAGTGATCTGCGGGATATCCAGCATTAATAATACGTCCAGCACTTACTATAGTCACAATAATAACACGAGCTGTCATAAATTCCATGTAAGAAGGATCTTTGCTTGAAAATCCTCTACTTTTTCCAATTCTACGAAAATTGGAGATATCACGAAGAAATTTATCAATCTTTTCCTGCTTTTGGTCAAATGATGGAGAATAAATTCGTAGGATCTTATTGATAGACACATGCTTTGCTAGACGATTTCCAATATCATCACAAGTGGAATTAGAACCGGCTGTAAATAATACATGACTGTCTGGCTTCATTTTAACGATTTGTGCAATAGCTTCGACGATTGTTGTACTTTTTCCGGTTCCTGGACCTCCGAAAATAATAAATGGCGATGGAAAGCTTGTACAATTGACAATGTTTTCCACAGCAATCATTTGTTCCTTATTAGTATTGATTGTTGAGCTAAACCACTTCAAATCCTTAAATTTCTCATTCGAGCCTCTTTTTAAGACATTTGTTGTCTCAAAATTCTGTAAGTACGAGCCCATATCCATATTCTTCATGTCCTCAACTGCTCGTTGAGCAGTCCGAATAGAAACTCTGTTTGGAACAAACTCAATATGGTAAGAATTTTCAACACGAATACTTGACTGCTTTTTGGATCCTTTCGAACGAAATATCTTGACCAATATTATGTCATCAAATATATGCTCAATCTTGCCATCCATTCTTAAGTCAATCAACTTTTTGGTGTCATTTTTATATGTTTTGTAATCTGATTGTTCGTAAATCTATAAATTTAAGAATAGTTTTAACAGAAATGCAATTAAAAGTCAGATAATGCTTACATAAACACCACAAAACTCCATGACATCAATAGACAGCTTCTTTTTAGCCTGTATAAGATGAATCTTTCTAGTATATTCTTCATCGTCCATAATATCCCCAACTTGCTTTTTTGCGTTCTGTTTTACACAAGCTGAACAGTTATTGTATCTAACAATGTTCGCATAATCCAATCCATATCCGTAAATTTGTTTTATGCATTCCAAATCCTCAATTGCGATCATATTTTGGAACATATCAAGAAAATTGAATTTGCTAAATCGATCTGCGACAGTTGCAGCTTCATAGCGTTTTAATGAATTAAGGAGATCATGAGCGTTTTGAGTTATGCCTGAATAAGCAATGAAATTAGACTCAAACAATTTTTTTAGTTCAATTCCACATTTTAGATCTTCAGCATTAAAATCCTCGATGAACTTTCTTTCTGCAGGTCTTGCATTCTGATTATCAATCTTTGGTAGTGACATTGAGTATGAGGATGTATATTTCTTTTTATCCTTATCAGAATAGACAATAGTCAACAAAAATTCCTTCTGATCTGTCTGGAACAAATAAAGCAATCGATCCTTGAAGTTAGCTTTAATAATGATTGTGCAGACACTACCGTCTCGCTTTTGTTGACTTGAAACCACAGGAATGTTGACTGGACTGAGTTCAGAAAACTTGAAATGAACTGTTGGTTTTTGGATCTTTAGATCCTTTAATTCATCACTGTGAATATCTAGCATAAACTGAATATGATCTTCGTTGAAATTTAAGTTACAGCTGACGGGTAAGAATAGTTTTGGATTTTGGATTTCCTTCTTTTGCTTGCCAATGATTTGTGTTGTTTCCAAGTTAATTAACTTCAGTTCTAGATGTTTGAAATTTTTTTAAAAATGATTTATTATGAATTTTCCTGTTTAATTATGGATACTCACGTTGGTTTAGATCCAAAACACCTGATTTAACTCCTGTAAATCTTTGCATTGTGCTGTAATTAAGCAAATTATTCAATTAAATAAAATTATTGAAATTTCTCTTAAAAATTTTACTTTTGAGCTTTTAAACTTAATCGATGACGTAAATTGGAATGGATTTTCTAATAGTGTATAATAATTTTTTATGCTTTAATTAAGCTTAAATATATATATTAATTTACAAAATATTTTAAAATTCACTCAGAAGCAATAAAAGCAAGTGCATAAATAATTCAAATCTAAAATTGTCGTTAAATTGTCAAAATATAAAAAATCGGTATTTTTTTAAATATAAGGAAGACGTTAATACCTAGAATCGCAAAAAAAAGAATGAATTTAAAAGTAAGATTCAATACTTAAATAAGGGGCCGTTCACTTATTACGTTCGCATTTTAGGGGGGAGGGGGTTGAAAAATTGAAACAAAATGTAACATTGGGGGGGGGGGGGGGGGGGGGGTAGGGGGGGTGTCAAGAAGTATGTAAGTGTAAATTTTTTGTATTGTACTTTTTATTTTGCATTCTGATAGGTACAAAAAGAGAAATGTTCAGCAGTTTTGGTGCGATCTTTAGACAATTGAGGTACATTGACACTTAATAATTGATTTTCTTAACATATTAATATTGTTTTATTGAAAATGGTCTTGAGTTTAATTAATGTCACAATTCTTAGAAATAAAGGAAGTACCAAAAATTTATTTGTATGGATAATTTGAACATCTTGGCATAATTTGACACTTCTATACGATAGAATGCAATGCATTAACGACTAAAACACTAAAAAATATTGAAAAATCAAAATACTTAAACTAATATCGTCTAGATGTATTGATGAGTTTGCCGTCGATTCCTACTTGAATCCATAGAGGCACTTTGTGTGTCTTAGACAAAAGTTTAATTGGAATCGATCATCAAATAGGCTAAACATCCAACAGAATCTAATACTTTTCAAATGATGATTCAAATTTTGTTCCTACAAAGTTCAAATTTTCCAAATTACTGAAACCTGTTAAAATTGAACTTTATCAGTTCAAAATTCAAACCTCAAAAGAACGTTACAAAGACCTTAAATTTATAAAGACACGAATCGTAAGACTAAAATATTTTCCATTGATTTGATACTCAATTTAAAAATTAACTGAAAAAACGTCGCCAACTGTTGCTTTATTTTCATAACAATAGGTAATGAATTTGTTCCAAATGCTACACTTTTGGAGTGTCGTTGAATTTCCAATAATTACTAATAATGACTGTGCACGTGTCAAAGCAACATTCAAGCGCTTTTCATTTTTCAAAAATCCAACATGACTTGTTCCTGAACGAACACAAGTAACAAAGATGATTTTCTTTTCACGACCTTGAAATGAGTCGACAGTTCCAATTTCAATGTTTGAATAAGCATCACCAAAAACTTCCAGCATTCTATCACGCTGTCCACGATATGGTGAGATAATTCCAATGTCATTCTGTGTGACTTTGTTCTTTCCTAGTCCTCTATTTAAAAGTACTTGGACATAATAAGATAAGACAGTTAATTCGCCTTCATTCTTCAAGCTTGTGCCTACTTCTTCAGAAAATGCTCTTGTCGTGTGGAATATTATTGGGAATTTTGGATTGAACAGCAATAATTCAGGATCAAGAGCATAATTCTTTATTTCATCAGAACAGACTGAAACAAGTTGTGAATCGTAGAAATTTTCGTTCGAGAAATGCATAATTGCTGGATGATTTCTGTAGTTTTGTTTCAATTGAACGACGTAGTCATGGTCATATTCATTTTCAAAACGTTGATATTTATAATCTGTGTCCATCAAACGTTCCATAAGAGATGTCTGAGGATTCAAAAAATTGTATTTCAATAACGAATGTTTCAATTTCAAATTTAAGCGAACTTTTGAAATTTAAATGAACTGAAATTGAACGAAGTTGAATGACTGAACGAAAATCTAATTTCAAAATATCGTTAAACTTTTTAGTTGAACTTTATAGCAATTTACCTCTAATCCCAGTTTCTTAGCAAATGGATTTTTAACAATTGGACCAAGTTGCTTATGATCGCCGGATAAAACAATTTGAGCATGAACTCCTTTCTTTGACAACCCTAAGCCAGATAATGGAATGTAAGCTTCTGGCTCACTGACACATCCAGCCTCATCTGTAAACAATAGTGGATAAATTAATGCAAAATAAAAGAAATAAATACGAAGATTAACTCACCAATAAAAATATAATCAAAATGTTCAGCACTAACTTCAGAGCTTGTGATTCGACCAGCAGTTACTAAAGTTACAATAACGACACGGGCTGTAAAAAATTCTTCGTAGGACGGATCATCATGGGCATTTTGTACTGGACAGCTTCTTTTATGGCATGTACAGTTATTGCGCTTACGAAAATTAGATACTTTCTGTAACATGCTGTCTATCTTTTCAGGCTTTAGATCAAATGAAGTCGAATATAAACGGAGGATCTTGTTGATGGAAATATACTTTAATAATCGATTGCCAATATCATCACAAGTAGAATTTGAACTTGCAGCAACAAGAATATGACTTCTAGGCTTTAATTTTACAACTTGAGCAATAGCTTCGACAACAGTTGAACTTTTTCCGGTTCCTGGACCTCCAAAAATAACATATGGTGATGGAAAGCTTGTACAATTAACGATATTCTCGACAGCAATCTGTTGTTCCTTATTATCAGTAAGTTCATTATTAAACCATTCGAAATCCTCATAATATGTCTCAGAAGTTATTTTCATGCCGACATATTCGAAATTTTGTAAATAAGAATGCATTTCCATTTTCTTCATATCCTCCAATGCGCGTTGAGCTATGCGAATCGATACTCTGTTAGGAACGAATTCGATATGATATGGACGGTCATGTTCAAGCATAGAATGCTGCCTTTTCCCCTTTTTACGTGGAAGTAAAAACAAAATGACATCTCCAAAAATATGGATAATTTTTCCAACTTTACGTTGAAATGCAAGCTCTTCGAGATCATCATGATATTGTTGGTAGTCGCTCTGATCAAAAATCTGATAAGGAATAAAAGAAATAAATAGTTAAAAAATAACGGTCAAAAAATATTTGAAAAATGATGATCTAGAATATTTTAAATTCGTCACACAAATTCAAAATTAAATAACTGCCAAATACTCACATAGACGAAATCAAACTCCATGACATCGACAGGCAGCTTCTTTCTAGCCTGAATAATATAAATATTACTAACATAATCCCTTAACTTTTCATCGCACATCAAATGACGTAAATGCTGCTTTATAGTCTGTTGCAGCATCAATGGACATACATTGTACTTGTAGACACTTGCAAAATCCAAGCTGTAATCTTTCATTTCTTTGGAACTATCTAAATCTTCGATTGCGACCATATATTGAAACATGGCAAGAAAATCATAATTTTCAAAACGATCATCAAAATGAGCTTCCTTATAGTCCATTAGAGCATTTACTAGTGCCAGTTCCTCTTGTGTTTTGAGGAAGTAAGGATTAAATTGCTTCTCAAAAATCTTTTTCAGTTCAAATCCACCAATATCTTCAGGATTAAAGACAGGAATGAATCTCTTCTTGGGATCCCAGTCATGTTGATCATCAATTTTCGGCAACGATACAGAGAATGATGATGCATACTTCTTGCCATCCTCAGTTGTGTAAAAAATAGTCAGTATAAATTCTTTTGGACAATACTCGAATAAATGAAGCAAGCGATCCTTAAAGTTAGCATGTATATTAATGGTGCACATTTCATTTCCACTAGCGTTCTTTCTTTCACTTAACTTTATAGGAATTGACACTGGATTTAGATTGCCCAATTTGTAACCAACAGTCTTCTTTCCAACTTTTAAGTGCTTAATTTTTGCATAATGAATTTTCAGCATAAACTCTATACGATCCTCATTGAAGTTGAAATAACTATTAACTGGGATGAAATCTTTTGGATCATCAATATCTACTTCCTGTTCATCCACAAAATGTATTGTTTTTACGTAAAAAAATTTCAATTCTGAAAATCGACAAAAAGGGAAACTTCGATAATGTTTCAAATGATCTGATGTGTAGCACTTACTTTTATTAAAGTCCACTACATACTTTGGCTTGGGCTTTGGTTTTCTCTCCATTGTACTATAATTAATATTCTCACGAAAATTCAGTCTTTTTAATCTTTTCGTCGTTTTCTAAAAATTAAACCGTACATTTTGTACTAGATGTTATTAATTAAGTTAAGGATGTACTATTCGTTCAACTAAGGACGATCCTGTGCTTTAATTAAATGTTTTTACCTTGATTTTTTGAAATTTTGAAATAATGAAATTAATCAAAATATTGAAATATTAAAAGCCAAGTGTTTGAAATTTAAATTTCAAATGACCGTTAAATTTTTAAAATTACCAGAGGCGTTAAAAAAACTTTAACACAGAAAACCCAGCATTACTCATTCAGCACTCACTTTCAAAATTCACGAAATATCACAAATATAACATTGTTTAAAATTCTCGGATTCCCCGATATCTTCTCCGTATGACTCAAAAACAAGAATCTTCTTTTTCTTACCAATTTTATTTTTTCTTTTCTTCTTAACACCTTAAACTTATTCGTGCAGCAGTCAAAAATAAACTGAATGAATTTTTCGTTCTCTGCATTGCTAAGTATTTGATTATATACAGACAGATAATAACTTTTTTGCCTGTATTTGCTGTACAAAATGACTATAACATTTATTAGTAATCAAATGTGATTTTTTGGCAAGTTATGATGTGATTGGAATAATTTTAATTCTTGTAAGCTAGTGCAACATTTGATTGACGAAATTCGGAAATGTTAAGCAGCTACTATGTTGAGAATGAGTTGTATGACTGAATGTTTTAAGAGATTTAATTTATTTTACAAAAATCCAGTTTTGAATGATATTTTGTGTAGGGTAAATGACTTTGAAATTTGCGCAACCTTGAAATTTGCGCACTCGTATGAAAACGGAAATTTTAAAATTATATCTGAAAATTGCACTTCTATTCAGACGATCAATGGGAAATGTCTGAAGAACACAAGCACAGATGTTTTTTCATAATTTTTAGTGGTCTTAAGGCACTAGAAAGCTTAATAATTTATTACCAAAAACTCCCATACAAAACTTAAATTTCTTTACATTTTGATTTTGAGATGCATGCATTGGTATAGATTAAATTTTGGTATCAGAAAATGTAGATCTGACATTGCTTAACATTTTTCAAATGGTTCCAATTCAAAATGATACCTGGAACTGCTTTAAAATTCATTTTTAAAATGGCTTGTTTTTGAACCTTGAAATTTGCGCAGATTTTACGAAAAATTTTGAAATTTGCGCAGTGAAAAATAAAGGTCATTACAACTGAAGAAGAAGTCAAAATTGCAAAGTGGTGTATAGATTCAGCCAAATAAGGCGATCCAAAAACTACAGAAGATTTGAAGGAAACTGCTCAAAAATTAAAGGAACTTGAGGATATGAAAGCTCAAAAATGAATTGACCGAGAAAAAAAAGAAAGAATTGCGTGACAAAATTATGAATATTAAAAAGGAAAAACATGAAGCATCAACTCAAGTAATCAGGAAACGTGGTCGGCCAAAAAAGGCAATAAAATGAAGATAGCTTTTAGACTTTATACTAAATTTTAAAATTGAATTACTATGGATACATCATTTTGCTTGTTCCTTTTTGAATTTATTATGTGCTTTTGAACTATTTTGAAACCATTTATCTAGTGTTTTTTTTCCACGCTGGAATTTACTCCTAATACATCTAAGATTGTCCTGTTGAACATTAAGCTTTCACGGATTTTCACGAAACTAAATCTAATGGGTGAAGTGCATCTGGCAGACTCGAGAATTCTGCAGAATTCTGGAACACAGTTGTGCAGAATAATTCTGCAGAATTCTCCAGAATTCTGGAGGATTATTTATCAGAATTCTGGAGAATTTTTTGAAAAATGTCACGCGACACATTCGCAACATGATTTCAGAAAACAGAATTCTGTAGAATTATGGACAAGATTCCGGAGCATCTGGCAGACTCGAGAATTCTGCAGAATTCTGGAACACAGTTGTGCAGAATAATTCTGCAGAATTCTCCAGAATTCTGGAGAATTATTTATCAGAATTCTGGAGAATTTTTGAAAAATGCCACGCGACACATTCGCAACATAATTTCAGAAAACAGAATTTTTTTAACAGAATTCTGGAGAATTCTGGACAAATAATTCTGGAGAATTCTGGACAAATAATTCTGGAGAATTCTGTAATAGTTTTTATATGAATTGTCAAAAACACCCTATACTATTTAGCATTAGCTATTTAGCTACAACTGTAGATGACAGATGAACTTACTTCGTTACGTAAAAATCAAATTAAAGCTGTAATTTACAGATGGTGTTTATAGCTTAGCTGCTGAGCAGTACTTACAGTTGATGTAATTTCACGTGAATTCCGCTGGTTTTGACTATGACACTTCCTTTTACAAAAAAATTGAATAGAAAACAAGGTACAGTAGCGTGCAAAAGTTTGAAAACGATTGGTAATTAATAACTTTAAATGCTTTCTAGCACGAATTCAATGAATCGTTATGTATAAACATAAGATTCGCATTATATTTTTTATTTGAATGAAGCATTCAGTTTTTGGTTCTATTCCGAATGACACAAGTCGGTAAATTAATCAGAAATCCAGCATCAACCTGGTGTGACTTTGGCATGGTGCTAGATTTAAATCGAAGCCATTCGTAAGTATTTCCTAGGTTGTTTACTATCATTGTTTAGGTTTTTGTTTCCAGTTTTTATTCTTGTATTATTTTATTTATATTTTAAATGTTAACATCCAGAGTGAAAAATTTGATTTTTATAAAACTGTAAACTCAACTGTAAGTACTGCTCAGCAGCTAAGCTATAAACACCATCTGTAAATTACAGCTTTAATTTGATTTTTACGTAACGAAGGACGTTCATCTGTAATCTACAGTTGTAGCTAAATAGCTAATGCTAAATAGTATAGGGTGTTTTTGACAATTTATATAAAAACTATTACAGAATTCTCCAGAATTATTTGTCCATAATTCTACAGAATTCTGTTTTCTGAAATCATGTTGCGAATGTGTCGCGTGACATTTTTCAAAAAATTCTCCAGAATTCTGATAAATAATCCTCCAGAATTCTGGAGAATTCTGCAGAATTATTCTGCACAACTGTGTTCCAGAATTCTGCAGAATTCTCGAGTCTGCCAGATGCACTTCACCCGCTATTTAGCTACAACTGTAGATTACAGATGAACGTCCTTCGTTACGTAAAAATCAAATTAAAGCTGTAATTTACAGATGGTGTTTATAGCTTAGCTGCTGAGCAGTACTTACAGTTGAGTTTACAGTTTTATAAAAATCAAATTTTTCACTCTGGATGTTAACATTTAAAATATAAATAAAATAATACAAGAATAAAAACTGGAAACAAAAACCTAAACAATGATAGTAAACAACCTAGGAAATACTTACGAATGGCTTCGATTTAAATCTAGCACCATGCCAAAGTCACACCAGGTTGATGCTGAATTTCTGATTAATTTACCGACTTGTGTCATTCGGAATAGAACCAAAAACTGAATGCTTCATTCAAATAAAAAATATAATGCGAATCTTATGTTTATACATAACGATTCATTGAATTCGTGCTAGAAAGCATTTAAAGTTATTAATTACCAATCGTTTTCAAACTTTTGCACGCTACTGTACCTTGTTTTCTATTCAATTTTTTTGTAAAAGGAAGTGTCATAGTCAAAACCAGCGGAATTCACGTGAAATTACATCAACTGTAAGTACTGCTCAGCAGCTAAGCTATAAACACCATCTGTAAATTACAGCTTTAATTTGATTTTTACGTAACGAAGTAAGTTCATCTGTCATCTACAGTTGTAGCTAAATAGCTAATGCTAAATAGTATAGGGTGTTTTTGACAATTTATATAAAAACTATTACAGAATTCTCCAGAATTATTTGTCCATAATTCTACAGAATTCTGTTTTCTGAAATCATGTTGCGAATGTGTCGCGTGACATTTTTCAAAAAATTCTCCAGAATTCTGATAAATAATCCTCCAGAATTCTGGAGAATTCTGCAGAATTATTCTGCACAACTGTGTTCCAGAATTCTGCAGAATTCTCGAGTCTGCCAGATGCACTTCACCCGCTATTTAGCTACAACTGTAGATTACAGATGAACGTCCTTCGTTACGTAAAAATCAAATTAAAGCTGTAATTTACAGATGGTGTTTATAGCTTAGCTGCTGAGCAGTACTTACAGTTGAGTTTACAGTTTTATAAAAATCAAATTTTTCACTCTGGATGTTAACATTTAAAATATAAATAAAATAATACAAGAATAAAAACTGGAAACAAAAACCTAAACAATGATAGTAAACAACCTAGGAAATACTTACGAATGGCTTCGATTTAAATCTAGCACCATGCCAAAGTCACACCAGGTTGATGCTGAATTTCTGATTAATTTACCGACTTGTGTCATTCGGAATAGAACCAAAAACTGAATGCTTCATTCAAATAAAAAATATAATGCGAATCTTATGTTTATACATAACGATTCATTGAATTCGTGCTAGAAAGCATTTAAAGTTATTAATTACCAATCGTTTTCAAACTTGTGCACGCTACTGTACCTTGTTTTCTATTCAATTTTTTTGTAAAAGGAAGTGTCATAGTCAAAACCAGCGGAATTCACGTGAAATTACATCAACTGTAAGTACTGCTCAGCAGCTAAGCTATAAACACCATCTGTAAATTACAGCTTTAATTTGATTTTTACGTAACGAAGTAAGTTCATCTGTCATCTACAGTTGTAGCTAAATAGCTAATGCTAAATAGTATAGGGTGTTTTTGACAATTCATATAAAAACTATTACAGAATTCTCCAGAATTATTTGTCCAGAATTCTCCAGAATTATTTGTCCAGAATTCTCCAGAATTCTGTTAAAAAAATTCTGTTTTCTGAAATTATGTTGCGAATGTGTCGCGTGGCATTTTTCAAAAATTCTCCAGAATTCTGATAAATAATTCTCCAGAATTCTGGAGAATTCTGCAGAATTATTCTGCACAACTGTGTTCCAGAATTCTGCAGAATTCTCGAGTCTGCCAGATGCTCCGGAATCAATCTAATCATATAATTTGGTAAGGGCTCGTTCACTTATTACGTAACGCAAAAAAAACGAGTTTTTGAGCCCCCCTCCCCCCCCCCCCCCTGTAACAAACCGTAACAAAATCTTAGACCCCCCTCCCCCCCTAGTGCGTTACGTAATAAGTGAACGAACCCTAATAAACATCATCATTTCCCTTATATTTTGATTAATGTATTTTAAAATTGGATATGTTTTCAACAATATTTTTTCCAAGTTTCAATATTGCTGTCAAAAAAGTGCGCAAATTTCAAGGTTTTTTTGCGCAAATTTCAAAGTTTTCTGCGCAAATTTCAAAGTTCAAACTTGAAAGTCAAATTTCTTGGCATTGACACAGCAGAGCTTCCTATATCCATAGAAAAATAAAAATATCAATGATACCCTGCATTTCAAGATCGTTAGTAGGGCTCAATTTCAATCCTCCAAAGAGCTTGAAGCAAATGAAATTTTCTTGTGTGAATTTGCGCAAATTTCAAGGTCATTTACCCTATGTGGGTCAGTTATACTGGAAATCATATGGCATGTGGTTGTTTACAAATCACTTTTTTATTTAAGAAATCCAGCATCGTTATTCTTGTCATTATGAATTTTTAAGCACAACGAGCACAACATTAATTTAAATCCAATTTAATCTCACGTTTTATTTCAATCCGACTTGTTTCTACTTGAAATCTCTCAATAAATCGGAAAACTGATCAACAAGTGTCTGCATGATTTTAATTATCTGACTCGAAATTGCCCTTTCATAATTTTTGACTAGAATATCAACTTAGTATGCAGCACAACTCACTGCTCAATCTCTTTGTTGCTGCAAATCACATGTGTGGCCTTACTGTACCCCAAAAAATGTCAATTAAATACATTGAAGCACGTCAACTTCCTCAAAATAAATGATACAAAGTTGCCAATATTTATGCTGCACATTAATTAAGTTTTTTCTTATTTTTAATCGCGGTGTTAAATTTCATAAATGACGATCGAATAATAAGAAACAAGAAGAAACTGACATTGTCATATCTCTGTATCCACGACAGGAAAGCAAAAATTTCTTTCCAAATCATTCAATGTTGCTGATAAAGTTTTTAAGTTTATCTTATCTTAAATTTTATTTTCTTGGAAAGGACGCAATTCAATAAGGGTGAGTAATAAAGATTTTTTAAAATAGATTAGAAATGTGATTTTTTTAGAATTTTTATTGTTTATAGTCTTCAAGGTCAGGTAAGTTTTTATAGACTATGCGTAATAAACTTATAAATTGAATATAATTTTTAATTGAGGAAGATTCGGATGTGATTATTTTTTAAAGATGGGGTAAAGCAGTGTTGTCAAACTTTTTGTGCAACATACCTTAGGAGTAAGCCATGATCCACCTTAAAGTTAACTTAAAACCAACTTAAAGTTGAAAGTGGGAACAAAAAGTACTAGAATTAAGATTTTTTTAAAGTACTAGACTTTTTCGAAAATCAAAATGTACCAGATCTTTCAAATAAGTGTTAGTACTAGACGTGGTATGAACACAAAGTACTAGATTTTTGTAATGTACAAACAAAAAGTACCAGATTATTTTATAATCTAAAGAAATTCTAGTACGAATTCGAGAGTGAGATAAAAATCTATGGCTCCCATAGAAGAATTTTTATGAATGTGCAGTTCGGGAAGAAATTCTGATTTATTCGATTTATTAAATAAATAAATTCAATAATTCCAAATTCATCAATATTTTCGTAATTTTAAAGCGTAACAAAAATGTTTGACATCATCAATCACAAAAACTGCGTTTACTTTCTTACTAAATTGCACTTAGCTCTCCAAAAATTATTCAAAATATTCATCAAGTTGCACCAAAAATTGCTTAATCAGCAATGAAATTCAGATCAGTCACTCAAAATTAAACCATGACTCATAAAGTTTTGAAATTCGTTCTACAACAACATAATCACATCCAGACTTATCGATTATTTTTTCACACTTAATTGTAAATCTATTAAATAAAATAATTATTATTTACCAAACAAATCAGTTTAAGACCGTCCAATAATTTTCAAAATCCTTCTACACTTTTTCGCCGGCAAATGAGAACTAAACAGTAGAATAGAGAACAAAAGGAATTGAGCGTGTTTATAGCTTCTCTCACCACAAACATATGACTAAGTAAGTATTTTATAAATAAAACAAAAAGTGCATAGCATGTAATAATAATACTCAGAATATTCATTTTATTGCTGTTATTGGTTGTCAATGTATAGCTTATTATGAAAAAAAAAAATAATAAACATAAATGGAATAAGTTTTCATGTACAGCACATGAAATATATAATAACTTTTTTAAATATTATAAAAAATAAGCTTTTTTTGGCTGTATAAATAACTAGCAGAATTATGATAAAAATTATGAAAAATTATGATCTAGGCAGATAAACAAGTTGATGCCATCCGACAATCTCTTCCTTTAAATTCAGTCCAACTAGTGGAATTTGCACGCCGCCCAAAAATTCATTTTCTTGTAATGTGTCATGTCCCCAGACTGTAATTTGTAATGTCTTCAATTTGATGACTTGAATAGCCATCCTGTATTCTAATGTTTCCATAAAACTTGGATAGCATGTTTTCTTGACTACTCGAGTCTTTCGTTTTGTTATTTTTGATTTATCAGGTATTAAATAGCTTTTCACGTATGTGTTTGGTTCCTGTCCGCTTGTTGTGATGGGTAAGCTTCTTGCGTGATGGATCTGTGGATAGCAAAAGATAAATCACATTTAAATCTGCTGGATTAAATTTAAATACATTGGATTAATTTTTAAATCTAACGATTTAGACTCAAAATTCAATTTTGTAGCTTCGATGTAAGTTCAACATATTTCGCATCTCCATAACCTACCATAACAATGAACGTATCACGATGATAATGAATCGAAAACTTAATTTCTCCACAAATATTATTTTCCGGTGATTTCTTATCTTCGCGCATTTTCAAGGCATGAATGTCAGCTTCTTGTTGATCCCTCAATAATGGATGGAAAAATGTAATGACTAAATCGGAATTTATGATCTCAGTTGATGCATTTAGAAGAGAATTGATGAATTTTTTGACCTCAGGCAGACGTCGCTCAGCGACTGTTTTAATATTTGACCTTCCAACAGAAATGCCACTTTGTAGGCTGTGAAGAATAATACAAAATTGGATTTTCAAATGTGATAAAAAAAGGAATTAAATTTTTACCTGTGAAGTCGAGCAAGTGGAAATAGCAAGCACAGTTTTTGATGTAATTCACAAAACTCCTTGTAGGTACGAAACAAGTAAACAGGATCTGGATTATTTTCACGAAAGACTATTAAAATGTACGTATAATATTTCTCCAAATTGTATCGTTTCTGATATCCATGAACAATTATATTGCCAATAGACCCTTCTTGTGAGACACTGGAAATAGATTTACATTTAAAAACAGTTATTAGAATTGAGTTTGTGGCTAATTATGTCGAAGAAGTTTACAAATCAAACATCAACGTGTTATGGAGTTTGCTCTTGACATTGAAAAGGTTCCATTAAACTCAGTGAATTTTAAATCCTAATTGGTAATTAATGAGATGCTTCCTTTACGAAGAGTTAAATATTCTTTTAATTGCCAGTAGTAATAAAATTCATTGACTTAGAACAAAAAATGATGTTTGATTTTCATTAAAAGGTTGAATCCTTAAAAAGGTACCAAGGCTCGATTTTATGCTAATAATATTATTGATTTTTAGCTTAAGCTGCTTTGAAAGTTTAGCATTTGGGTACAGTTTTGGACATTCAAAAGCTTTTAAGGCGGAATAATTGCAGTAGAAAGGATAAAGTCATAAATCATACTCACTTATATGTCTTAGGCACAAAGCTCAAAACTTCACTTCCTTCCCCTTGATTTGTAAATCTCATTTGTGCCAAATTATGAAGGAAAAAGTTAAACTGAGTAAACCAGCTCTTTAAAGACACATGAATCATCTTAGCAAAATTTGAAGCAGCTTCAGGATTTGACGCGCCAGGCATAAGTGCATTTCTAACATAATTTACAGCATCACTAGTTACTCCAGGAATGCCAGACGATGCCATAAATGCAAAAATATGTAACAATAAATCTCCATGCTTTCTAACAATATTAAAAGCTTTACAGCATAGATCAACAAAGTTGTGGAATTTCGATGATGGTTTATCACCGCCATTAATAACATAAGCCATGTCAGATGTAAGCACAAAAGGAGTTCGATCACGTTTAAAATTCCCAAACATTTGTGCGTCGCCAAGAAACTTCCCAAAATCAATATGAAAGATATGTCCACTAGTTTTAAGCATAATATTGTCATTATGACGATCACAAATGCCAAGAATGTATGTAATAATGCTATATCCAGCACATGAAGATGTAAAATTGTCAACAGCACGTTGATACTCTAATTGATTGGGATTCTGCTTCTGGAGCCATTCAGCAATCGGTTTATCTTTAAAAGATCCAGTCAGTCCACATTTGACTTGAATTTCACGTAATGTTTCAGCATTTGTTATCATTTCAATCATGCCTTTTTTAAATCCAGTTGGAATGCATTGGAAAGAGACCATTTTAAGGTCTAAGCCTTCTTTAAGCCACATCTTGTCTATAATTCTGACAATTTGAAGAGTCAACATGTCTTGCTGTAAATCATCACCACATTTAAAGATTGCAGGAATAATAAGCTCATCTGGTCCCATAAAATTAATCTTTAAAGGCAAAGTATTCGAATTAAAATATGAACATGTCTTAGCGACGACTCCTTTAACTTCAAGTCCTGGCGAAAGTGGTAAAGTTGTTGGATTTTCGCTCAATATTTGGTGAACATTTTCAATAGTTTGACGTAAAATTGGAAGTCTCAATGATTCTTTTGCTGTTTTAACACTTTTTGCAACATCATCGAGTGACTTACAAAGGACATTTTGGGATAAGAATCGTCCACAAAGATTCTCACCACAAATAGCTAATAATGCTCTTAGCATCATCTGATTACGTCTATGGAATCTACATTGTAATAAGACATAATTATCTTCATAAAATTGATTTGTTTCCATCGTATTTTGTGGACAATCACCAGGTAAATTCTGAATTAATAGCCAATAAAGGAAGTGAGCAACTCGTGGTGAATCCAATGATCTACCAAGCAAGAAGCAAGCTAGCGGTGAAGATTCATAACAATCAAACTTTAGTGCTTGTAATAATTGCGGCAAAAAATCAACAAGTTCATCTTCATCCATTTTCGATATCCACTTGACAGCTTGTTCTCTCACAAATAAGTCTGGGTATTTAGGTAGAAGTAATTCAATTGCTTCCAATGGCTTTAAAGCTGATGACTGAAGAACAAGTGCATGCAAGTCTGACAATGATGCATAATCCCAACTGTGTGCTGTATTTAATATTTTTGGCAGTGCTTTTGGGAATTTGTGAAGATAATGCCTTTTTTCCCATAAAACTTCACGTTTATCAATTTGATTAAAGAGAATTCCTTGATTGACTGTATCAAGTAATTCATCTTGTAAATTTCTATCCAAGCACTCGTAATCGAGCTTTGGTAAATTAGCATTAATCACAATATCGGGAAAGACTAAACATCCGTCAAAAAATGGAATTTCAATGCTTAATATAGGACAATAATCTCCTTGCGGATGTGTTCCTCTTTGTGGTGATGGACATAAATATTTCTCATTAGTTGGTGGCCAAAATGAGAGAAAGTAAGTTCCTTGAATCATTTGTCTCTCAAAATCAAAGAATTGTATTGATGTCCATCCTAGTTCCTCTTGTGTCATTTCACCTTCATGATTATTATTTTGACTTGCATCATTTGTGGCTTGTCCGTCAACTGGTTGTTTTAAACATCCATAAAGCACAAAGACAATTCTTGATTCACGTGGTAAGGAACAAACTGGAACATCATCAAATATTAACCAGCTATCGAATGTAAGGCGAGGAAAGAATCCACAAAGACTATTAGAACAAGGAGTGATTCGTGGATCACTAACGCCCCTTGTTCCATGATATATTTGACTTGCTAGCTTATATTCATCGTATTTCCAATGAGATGGTGGACGATGAAGTGCCATTACATTTAACATGACATGTTGGGAAACATTTGCAATAGTTTTTATGGCTAAAATGGAGAAATTATTACAACCAGTAAAGAGGTGATCACACGTAATCGACCAAAGCGCATTTTCCCCGCACAGAATTCGAGTAGAAATTAAAATCCAAAAACTTAAAACATTTGAAAAATAACGGTTAAAAGATATTTGAAAAAAAACGGTCAAAAATTATTTGAAAGAAAACGCCCAAAAGTTATTTGAATAGTAACGAAAACGTTTAAAACAAAAGTCAAATCAACTTTTAAATGAGTTTCCACCCTTGGAATCCAAAATAGTGTCGGTGCTATATTCAATAACAGCCTCCGTACCAAAATTCAGCTTATAATGTCCGAATCTACTCAAATCGAGGCCCCCCAGTAATTTACATCCAAACAGTGTTGCAAATGTAGATGTCTACACTAGATGAACAATGTAGATTCTTCAATAGTTTTCGTCTAGCTAAGAAACTTTCTTCATAAAGATCGATTCTACATGAAGATAGAAAATCTAATCTACACAAAGATTATTTCTACACAAAGATTATTTCTACATAAAGATTCTGTCTACATAAAGATTCGATGTAGATGTCTACAATTCTACATTTTTTCTAGGTCTACATCAGAGAAGAATGTAGAATTGTGGACATCTACATCGAATCTTTATGTAGACAGAATCTTTATGTAGAAATAATCTTTGTGTAGATTAGATTTTCTATCTTCAAATAGAATCGATCTTTATGAAGAAATTTCTGTCTCAGAATTTATCTGATCCAGACAAATCGCCAGAATTCAACACTGCATCCAAAAAATAATTTTAAAACTTACGTGACTCCCAATGTGGACGATTGACTGAAAAATTAACTTGGAATGCTTGCGAATAAACTTCTAATAAATGCTGTACAGAATCTCTAATATCATCACAAAGTAGCTTAATCTCTTCACTAATGCTTCGAGGCTTCAATGTCACTTGAGAATAATTTCCTTTTTCTGACTCAACTTGAAATGTTGTGCGACTAAATGACGGCTGTTGCTATATAGATATAAAGTAAAAACGTATAAAGCTTAGTCTGTGTTATTTCAGAAATTGCAATCAAACTTACATGAATGTTTCTTAATTGCTCATCGCATGTGTTTTTCAACTTATTAATGGCAGTATAAAGCTCAAAAGTATCAATAGCGCCAAGTAATGCACAAATGGCTTTAACAGCTTGAATAACTCCCGAAGAATTAAACGATGAATATATTTGGGACGTGCTGGCTGATTCCAGTTTGTCTATCTCCATTTCTAAAGTTTCAAGTAAAATTATTAATGACGCATAGCTGATTGACGTTACTGGATCATTTGGTAGAATATTTTCCATTTTAAGCTGTGCATCACGGGAATCATCTTGTTGTGTCCTGGCAATGACTTTCATATATTCATCCTTTTTAGGAAATAGACCAAGCTGTACGTCCTTTTCTAACTTAATCATATTGTGAATATATTCTAATTGTGATAGACTTGACAAAGGCGATAACCATTCCTGCGAGCCAATCGTTTTTAATGCATAATTTTCAGCATTTCCGCTTAGTTCATTTTCAAGATTTGACAGCACTTGCATGATAACATGTACGGTCGTTGAATTTATATCACATGTAAATGCCACTGGATCTAAATAAGTATCAAGCTTTTGATAATTTTCCGTATTTGACTTGATTTTATAATTTTGCAGATAATTATTTGGTAAATTGAAGCATTCGAATGATGGATATACCAAAATTTTAATAATTGAAACATTAAGATATTTACTGTCGAGTGTTGCAGCTACAATATGTCCAACATTAGATGCAGTATCATTATAATTATATTTTGACCTTAAATCCTTAACCATATTATAAAATGCGATCGAGTCTTTATCATACTTTTTACGTTCGACTATATTCTCATATAATTTTTTGGAGTATTGATTATTTGTATAAAATTGTTGACTATTTATCGTTTCATGTTGATTGGAATGAGTAGAATTTCTTGGAGGAAGTGGTGGCGGTTCGTCTTGTGAATATTTGTTTTCTTCCTTAATCGATCCAGTGCTGTAATATTCTGATGAAATGTCCTGTATAGATTGATTTTTTGGTGATGCAACTGACCTGTCACTTCTAATAACTGCTTCATATAAGGGATCTGAATATTGTGTACCGCCACTGTATATATAGTCAAATGGATCTTGATCTGTATAATACGCATTACTTGCTTCCTCATTTTTTGACGATAATGGATCAAAAGCTTCGAGAATATTCGCGAAAACATTAGAGTCGTCAGCATCGTCTAAATTGATTAAATTCTCATTTTTGGATGTCCTTTTAATTACTAGATTTTGACTACTATGTGAACTAGTTAATGACTGGCTGCTGCTAGCTATACTTTGGGGTGTAGCTGTTTTTAATGTATCTGATACTTTTATTAATGAATTCTCACTCTTTACAGTATGAAATGATTGTTGAAAAGTTGTTGGTGGTATAGCAATGCTAGTTGAAGGTACTGGAAGTCGTGTCCATCCATATTGTGTCTGTGTCTGTGAATAAAGTCCATAAGTTGGTTGTTGGTTGATTCCTGAATAAACTGAATTATTATTATTATTATAGGCTGAATATTGTGGTTGAGACGTGAATCTTTCGAATCCAATTCTTGGATGATAATTTGATGGATTAAAATACATTTGCTGACTATAATATTGATTGCTTGCTGTATTACTGAGGCTGTATAAGCTTGGAAATGATTGTGACGATGCCTGCTGATTTGTATTGGTGGTATATGGAACTATTTGACTTCTATTTGAGTTTAACTGAAGAATTGGCTCTATTAGCTTATTATATGGATCATTTTCCTTTTTTTTGACGACTTTTGTCTGATCATTTTCATCATTTGTAAACGATATTAAATCCAACTCATCAATTTTACGCTCAATATTTGTCAAACTCGATGAAGAAGATGAAGAATGGAGTGAATGTCGTAGCTTATTGTCTGTAATCATAAATTTCTCATAACTTGTTGATTAATCAATAATTTGAACATTTCAATTTTACCATTTATCGATGTTTTACTGTAATTTCCTTGATTTGGAAGTGATCCTTTGCGTAACTTGAACTCATCTAATGCTGCTTCTTCTAAACTAAGTGCTTTAGCAATCTCGTCCTCGCTCAATCGTGACATATTTATTAAAATTTAGATTTTTAAATTATATTTCTTGGCGATTTATTTATAACCACTTTTACATATCGATGATGTGTAATTTTTTTGGTTCGTTATTAATTGGTAATTTTGTCCATTTTCATTGAAGTAAGCTATTGCTTTTCATTGGACATGATTTATAAGCTAAAGTTTTGTTTGTTCTGATTAAAATGACGAGTTGTCATTGTGATATGATTGAAATATCGACGTATTATTATTGACATTTTCCAACGGTTTTAGAAGCTTTAAATGCTTTTACATATCAATTGTGTTTTTAAATTTTTGAAAAACGTTATGAAATGAATTGAAAATTAAGAATTATGAATTAAAACATGCTGATTGAGGCATTCTTTATATATAACGTTATGTAGAAATTGTTCTCTGGTCTAATAGAAGCATAATAATACCCAGAATAGCCGTAATTTTGATGTTATTCGCGAAAAATAGATTTTTAATACTTCCCGCACTTTTCGAATGTAAACATTGGGTGCTCTGATCTTAGTAGGAATCTTTTTCTTTGGATTTTGTCTTATCAATCGTTATCATACTGACTCGGAGGTTTAGTCTTAGCACTATATCACATAAAATATACATGACTAAATCGAAAACAAGCCCAAAACAGTTGAATTAATAAACTTTTTAATCAAAAAATATAACAGAAATCAAAAATTTGAAAAAACAACTCTGAATTTTAAAAAAGCCGTTAAATTTTGACAACATGTGCACAACAGATTAGTCACGTGGCCAAAAAGTAAATATGGGTTCAAAGTCCATGACAAACAATTCCATCAATAATCAGTCACCAATTTTTATGTTTACATTGAAACAAACTGAGAAAGTATTTTATTATTATGAATTGATAATACACGTCAGTGTATTAATTAATCGGCAAGGAGATTAAGTGTTGCAATCAAAATAAGAATATGATGAGAATTAAGAAGAAATTCTTACTATTCATATTTACTGGTGTATTCTTTGTCGTCGTATATTTTTACCTTAATTCCAATGTTCCTAATGACAAGAAGGATCTCTTTTATTTCGAGGCAAAGGTGAAAAAGAATGAAAATCGTATCAAGACACCGCGTCATCAAATATTTGATAGTGACCAGAAGCAGCAAGTTGAGAATATAATTGACATTAATGAGAACATTATTCCACAAGATCCGAAAGACAGAGATTTAGAGAAAAATGATTTGATTAATGACCAAATTTTACCAGAAAATAGCAATGATGTTGAGATATCGTGCAATATAGTGACTGATGAGATCCCTAAACCCGACATTCAAATGCTGGATGCGTATCGTGAGATCCCGTTCGATAATCAAGACGGTGGTGCATGGAAACAAGGTATGTTTCTAAAATATTTGTGCCACATACTTTATTATTTTGATAAAACAGCTATTAATGATACAGATTATTTACTTTTCTATTATTAATTACAGGATGGAATGTCGAATATGACACTCATCAGTGGAATAGAAATCATAAACTCAAAGTATTTGTGGTTCCACATAGTCATAACGACCCAGGTTGGATTAATACCTTTGATGAGTACTATGAGAGACAGACTAAGCATATATTCTCAAATATGTTGAGGCATTTAGACGAGAATGAGAACATGAAGTTTATTTGGGCTGAAATTGTGTACTTTTCAAAATGGTACGATAGCTTATCGTCGCCGGAATCTAAGAAAACTGTTCAAAGGTGAGTTGTCCTGGTTTTTAGACCTTCACTAGATCTTTGTGAATGGAAGGCTTATAAATTTCTTTCAATCACTTTTTTGCAGATTAATTAAGAGGAAGCAGCTCGAGTTCGTTACGGGAGGATGGGTAAGCTATTTAGTAACAATTTTAACAAGAAACATTTTTCAATGTTGTAATTTTAGGTCATGCCTGACGAAGCTACATCACATTGGTACTCAGTTTTGATGTCATTGACGGAGGGTCAGCTATGGCTGAAGAAAAATTTCAATATAAGCAATATAAAGTCATCATGGGCAATCGATCCTTTTGGTCACTCGTCTGTTTTTCCTTACATACTCAAAGAAGCTGGCTTTGAGAATTTGTTGATCCAAAGGACACATTATTCTGTAAAGAAATATTTAGCACAAAGACAGCAACTTGAATTTAAGTGGCGTCAACCTTGGGATACAAAAGGATCAACTGAGTTGTTTACACACATGATGCCATTTTATTCGTATGATGTTCCTCACACTTGTGGACCTGATCCTAAAATCTGTTGTCAATTTGACTTTAAAAGATTGCCTGGCTATGGATTAAGTTGCCCTTGGAAGGTATGTGATTAATTTTTAAATTTTGAATGTATGACTATTATTCCAATTTAATTGTAGGTCCCACCAGTGGCAATAAATGACGAGAATGTAGCAAAACGCGCAGACATGATAGTTGATCAATGGAGAAAGAAATCAGTTCTGTACAAAACTCGTTCAGTGCTAATTCCACTCGGTGACGATTTTCGATACACACAGTCAATGGAATGGGAGGCACAGCGAGTGAATTTTGAAAAACTTTTTGAATACATTAATAATGAGCCGAGTTTTAACATCGAAGCAAAGTTCGCTACATTACAAGAATACTTTGATTCAGTGCATAATGAAAAGGGTGTGGCGAAATTTCCAAGTCTTAGTGGTGACTTCTTCACATATGCTGACAGAGACGATCACTTTTGGTGCGATAGTAATGCAATTTTTCTAAGAGTACAGTATTAATACAATGAATAATAATAATTACAGGTCTGGTTATTTCACATCTCGTCCATATTACAAGCGAATGGATCGAATATTAATGAACTATTTACGAACAGCTGAAATGTTGCATGCATGGACATCGTGGGAGTCAAATACCGGTTTTGAAAAGCGCTTAGAAAACGCAAGGCGTTCACTGTCAATTTTCCAACATCATGACGGTGTGTCTGGAACAGCAAAAGATTACGTGATGCGTGATTATGATAAAATGATGATTGAGGGTATCAAGAACAGTAAATTTGTTATTCAGCAAGCTGTTTATAAGCTATTAACCGAACCAAATATTTATCATCCTGATTATTCATTTTCGTACTTTAATGTTGACGATTCAAGAACAGCTACGAGCGATGACTCATCAAGGTCGGTAATTATAATTGGAGATGAGATACCATTTAAATACGTCGTCATACACAATTCGCAAACGTACGCACGTAATGAAATTGTAGAATTTTATGTGGCTAAGCCTTATGTCTGTGTAACGGATTCTGATGGAAATTCTGTTGATGCTCAAATTGCGCCATCATTTAGCTGGCATAAAGGAGTTTATGGTCCACAGCAGCCACAATTCTCGACAACAAAATATCGATTAATGTTTACAGCTAGCATTCCAGCACTTGGACTATCAGTTTACAAATTAAATGCTAAAAATAATAAAGAAGACTGCCAATCGACATCATTTACACAAATCACAATATTCAGTGATTCACATTTTGATGTTAATTTGCCTGACTATCCAGAAAAGATTAAGTTTGAGGAACCAAGAGAAATATCAATGAGAATTAATGAAAATTCAGCCGGTGCATCGTTCAATAAACTTGGAATATTAAAATCATTATCATTAGACAGTAAATCACCGGTCGTTCCAGTTCATTTAGAATTTATGAAGTATGGTACGAGAATGTCTCATGGTCAACGAAGTGGTGCTTATCTCTTTCTACCAGAAGGAACTGCTCAAAAAATGGCATATGAGCCACCCATTGTGGTCTATTCAAATGGACCTTTAGAATCATCCGTAGCTGTTGGCTTGCCATTTGTAATTCACGAGAGTATTTTAAGAGGCGGTGGTGATGCTTTGGAGATAAGAAATATGGTTGACATTGGTGACATGAGCAATACAGAAATTGTCATGCGATTGAGTACGAATATTAAAAATGGAAATGTATTTTACTCTGATTTGAATGGCATGCAGTATGTCAAGAGGGAAATATTCAAAAAGTTGCCACTACAAGGCAATTATTATCCAATAGCTGGTGGATTATTTATCGAAGATGATTTATTACGTTTGTCATTATTTACATCAACGCCTTTGGGAGGATCTTCTTTAAGTCCTGGAGAGATTGAAATCATGCAAGATAGACGATTGAATCAGGATGATGAAAGAGGTGAGTTTTTGTTTTATTAAAATAACGGAATCTTAGTTTTTGGAAAATAACGTTCATAAAATTTTCAAAATACAAGAATTTGTACGGTTTTTAAATTTTAAAAACATTTGTGAGGTTTTCATATTGAAATTTGTATGGTTTTGGGACACATTTCATGAATTAATCAATCCAATTATGTCTTATTGCAGGTCTTGGGCAAGGAGTTTTAGACAACCGACCAACTTTAAATATCTTCAAATTAGTCTTAGAAACTCGTGAATCGTGCAAGAAAATGGACGAACGATATCCAGCTGGATATTTGACACCAAATGCTTATATGGAACAAAAGAAGCTCTTGCATCCATTTGAGAAGCTAATATTTACAGAAAATGATTGGAACGGATTGAAACATAGTTTTGGTACGGATCACGAGGATCATGAAGGATATGAGATAGTCACATTGAGATCTTTACCTCATATACGAACAAATTCTATAGGCATAGTAATACACCGAACAAATTTCGATAATTGTGTGGATTCTTCAATTAGCGGAAATCAATTAAATCTTAAGAGACTTTTGGGACTTGACGAAAATGAAGACTCGAGAGAAATTTATCGTTCAACTGTGACATTACTAGAAGCTAAGCAGAAAATAAATGACGAATCAATTGGCATGTGCGCGATGGAGCTGAAAGGCTTTATTTTGAAATAACTTAATTTAAAAATTGTAAAAAAAGAAATATTGTGATTTTTATTAAACTAATTTAAATAACATAACATTTTTTGTGCTATTCCTTAGTTCTTTTTTTGTGAGTACAAAATAAACATTGAGTTAATTTTAAATCTATTTCTCCTGTGCTCTTTTTATTGGTTTCATTGGAGAGAGTTTTGAGTTTAACGGACAATTTGAATATATTTTGAATTTGCACTGAGTCTCTTCATGGCAAAAAAGCAGTTTCAAAGGAATCAAAGTTTTATGATTTTGAAATGATGGGATTAAATGGATATGGATAATCAGAAATATGACAGTTAAGCGCGTAATGATACTAGGAAAATGAGATATCAATAACTTGTCAAGCTATGTAGCTTTACTTTTTTGGATAAGATAGAAGATAATGAATGATACAGAAATTTTGGATTAAAGATTTACGTGCAAATATTTGAGGGTTTTTGGGCCTGGATTCTCAAGTTTCAAAAACCTATCCCAAAGATCATGAATTTAAAAAAATCAGCAAAAAACATATCATCATTGATTTTTAAGTCCTTTAATTTTATTGAATTTAAATGGTTCATCAATTCATCGAATTGTTATGAACAAAAACCGATTGACTTAAAAACATCGTGAATAAAGAAATCTGTTAAAAATCAAATGGTACAAAATACTGATAAAACAATTAATCAACAATTAGGAGACATTTCGAAAGATTTATGAATCATGAAGAAGGAATTCAAGTGATAAATCCACAACATTCTCCAATAACACCATATATCAAGTTGTTAATGACAGCAGCGCAACATTGTATAAGGTACGAGAATTAAGTATTTTTAACAAAGAACATGTAGAACAAAAAGTGTCAATAGTTAATTAACAAAAGAAAAGCAAATGAGATAAATGAGCACTTGAACAGACTCGAAATAGTTTTGAACTTTATTTAAGATGATAAGAAACTTTTTGAAAAATTTGAATATCACCAACAAGATTTATTAAGTGAAATTAAATGAAATAGAGCTTTAATAAGGACAAAAAACCTATGTATAGAATATTCTCACATGAGCATAACACTATTATGTACTTCTACTAATACCATAGGTTCAGCGAGTAAAGTTGATATAGATTTTGTCGATAGGCCGGTTTTGATTGTCTTAAACCATCCAATACATACAAAATCTATATCAATACAGGCTTGGTTCTCTGTTATACACTAGGTTCACAATAGGGTATACACTAGGTATGAGTAGGTGTAAATACAAAAGGGAGGTGTATGAATAAGTTAAGGTCTATACCGACGACACCGACCAATGAGCCTTTTACTTGGGGGCTGTTCACTTATTACGTAACGCGAAAAAATGACTTTTTAGACCCCCCCCCCCTCGTAACAAAATTTGTATGAAAAAAAAAATTTCCTTGTTTGAACCGTAACAAAATCTTAGACCCCCCTCCCCCCACTAAAAGCGTTACGTAATAAGTGAATGGCCCCTTGTCGACTGTTGAATTTGTGTACAAAAAATAACGGCTGATGAAAGATTTGAAAAATTGGAGTTTGTTTAAGAATGTATAATATAATAAAAAAAAATCAAGAGTGTATTCAGAACGATATAAGAAAATTTTCAACTTTGAAAGGCATTTTTTATTAAAAAATTTTGTAATTATAATAAATAACTGTATAGAAATGGTAAATGACAAGAGTGAAGTTGAATAAGTGTGAAGTAAAGCATAGAAAAGTATAAAAAAGAGCCAAATTTAGAGTATCAAGCATAAAGTATAAGTGTCAAAAAAATATGTGGGACTGAAAGAGTAATCGTGTGACATGAAAAAATTGTAGTTCGTGGATTTAGACTCAAAATAAAAAAGATTCCATCATTAACAACAGTTTGGAATAAATAATTTTCTTATAAATCCCACCAATATCTAAGTTAAGTGACATTTGTGAGCCCATAATAAGGATTATCACTAAATTTTCGGTGAGTTTTTTTGCGTTGGATATTTCATAAAAAAAGATGTTGTATGCATGTTGCGCTCATGTCGTCGTTACTGTCGCGATGCGCAATATATAGTCTCAGCCTTTTCTTTCTCACTACAAATGAAAATGAATTTTTCCTTTCCGAAATGTACAGAAGATACAGTGCAATTTTATAGATATTCATATTTCCCAACAAGAAAAAAAATTCTTTTTGTACATCCACATTCGATTTAAATTAATCAATGTCTAATGTCATTATGTTTGGGTCCTCACGAGTCGAGTTGCTTGGCTCTCTAGAAATGCCGCATATATTTACTCTCATTAACTTCGTCTCTGACTTGACTTATTTATATTTATTTATTTTTTTATTTACGTCAGTTCCAGTTACTTTTTTTTGAGATCGCAAAAATTTTCCCTTTATTTTAATTAAATTTTGTGTGTCACGTAGTGGCAGGTAGGCAGGAACAGAATGTCTTACGCAAGATAGAGCAAATTAATAAGTCTAAATTGACATTGGCAATCATTATCTAATTTTTTTTTTGTTTCTCGCTGACTGTCTTGTCACTACTTTTACTTGATGGTCATACATGGGATTCTAAAAATAAGTTCGCGAAAAAAGAAAAATGAAATGAAAGAAAAGTTCAAAAGAGGAAGAAAAATAGTTTATTAAAAATAAACAAATCGACAAGAAAATAATTTTTTTTTGGTGAGAGATTAAGCTTGGTCACTTTTGAGTACGAATGAATAAGTACACGATGAATTAAATTTAGCAATTAGTGAATGTGTTATTTAAATTATAATAGCAAAAAATCATTTAATGTGATGGAATTTATTTATGGAGAATTTTTTTGCCTATTTTTTCCTCCCCGTACGTATAAATTTTTTTTGAGCCAGCCATTTTGATTCTCTTCTCTTGTTGAGAACATGTTGTATGAAGTTTTGTCGTATGAATGAAAGCAAGCAAGAAGAAGACGGCGATGGATTTTTTTTATTTTTTTGAAATATATTAAATAAAAAATATATAACTCTCTATTTAAGCACATAGCTGTAGTATTTCTAGTGTGGCTCACTATTCATTTGAATCTCTCGAAAGTTTTCACAAGAACTTGAAAATTTATTCAATATGCAGAATGTGAAAAAATCAATTATTGAGATATTGGATTTACCCGAGCAATTTCTGATATCTCAAAAAAAAAGTTATTTAATTTTTTTTTACTTTAATTTCTCTCTGAATCTCTCAGTGGAAGGTCTTTGTTAATGAAAAAAAGAAACTGTGTATACATATATAATATTATTGTATATATTTCGTGTGTGATAAGAAGAAGAAAAGCGCACTTTTGAGAGAGTGAAGGAACAAAAAAAATTTTTTTTTTGAAAGAAGAAAAAAATCGCAGAAGAAAATCAATATGAGGATGATAGGGAAAAAGCGGGGGTCTAGATAGTTTTTTTTTTTAAATTTATTTCATAATATCTTCAATAACAATCAAGTGATTATAAAGCTACGAAAAAAAAGTTTCTTTCGGTGTTTTCAAAAATCTGAAAAAAGATTTCATTTTAAATATCCAAATAAAAAAAATTGTAGCTGAGAGTGAGTGAGTAAAACATGACAAAAACAATCAATGGGTAAATTTCTCTCTGATTTCATCTCCTCCTAAAATTTTTTTTCTTTCTTCTTTTTATTTTTCTCACTCAAAAAAAATTATCAATTTGTAGTGACATAAAGCACTATGTTAACAACACTATTTATCACTCTTTGCTCACCTTTATCATTAGATTATCAGCTCGATGTAAATCATAAAGCTCTATATATCTAGTGCCGGATTTGCCGGAAAGAAATTTCATTTTTACCGTTTGTGAACCTTAGCACATTTATTCGTGAATATTAATTAAGGCAGACATACCTAGTCTGTCCATTATAGTGATTGACTAATCTAAATCTTTGTGGATTAGGGAATGATAATGATGAGAATCCAGCATGATAAAGAAACTCCTCTTAGTACATTCTATAGTGACATACCTTAGCAATTAGGAAAGCTCATTTGTACTTACTTTAATACTATTGACAAATCTTATTAGCACTGAATGTACATTGTAGTGATTTTTATAAATCCTCATTATGTCTAATAGCTTCTTAATCCTTCATACATGTCCAATATTTAAAAAATTAAAAATAAGTTACCTAATCTTTTATGACGAGTTGATATTCTTAATCCAAAGGAAAATTCTAGATCCTGACAAACTAGTATCTTGTTACTATTACATATAAATTGAAACTACCTGCTAAGTTATAATTTTTGTAGGTAAATTCTTCAAAAGTCAAGCTGAGTAGTCTCGACTTTATACAAAGCTAGTGTCTACTTCTAGATCTTGAACTTATTAATGGTCAGGAACATATCTTTAAATCTTTTGTTGATTAATTAAAATTGAGTTTAGCTAAACTGTTTTTTATAAGTTTCTCTGGACCAAAACTTAAAGGCATATTAAGAATGGCACGTAATTTTATATGATAAGTATAGGTATGTGCTAGACTTTCTATTCAGACATGATTAAAATTCTGACGTAATATACATCATAAAATCCATAATAAAATCTTAAAGCACTGCCTAATCGTTAAATTCCCTTTTAAAAACTCAAAACAATTTCCTCTAGACTTAGGGTTACCATCTAATTTTCATGAAAATACAGGACTTTTGGTAATTTTTTTCGAAAAATACAGGACATAGAGTAAAATTCGAAAATTAACGGAAATTTTCGTAAAAAAAATACAGGACCTGGAACAAAGTTTTCAAATTTATACAGGACAGGGTTTTGAAATACAGGACTGTCCGTTGTAAAACTACGCAGATGGTCACCCTATCTAGACTTCCACAAATTAGCAGCTTAGGAAAAATCAAACTGCAACAAAATGATCCAGTTAAATTCTCCTCGCATTTTCTCATATTTTTACTATCAATGAAGAGTCAACAAACTTTACAATATGCTCAAGGCTCTCCCAAAAAATATATGTATTAGGTAATGACCATCTCATGGTCAACTGCTTTTAACACGAACATCATCTTCAGTCGTTTAAAACATTTTGACCTCGAAACCTTCATAAATCTTTATCACATTTTATGATTCAAATAAAATGAAAAAAAAGAGACACTGGCAATGACTGTCAAGAAGAAAAATTTTGTGCTTTGATGTCAGAATGAGGATGAATGAATGTGAAGTGCTCCTTTGAGCTGGACGAAATTTTTTTGGGAATTCCTTGCTTAAATTAGCTGTTAAGTTCCTTAATCATTTGAAATTCATTTATTCATAGTTTGATCCTCCAGATTCCATCCCTTTAACAAATTCGACCCAATAAGTCTTCATTGAGTAAAGTGAAAAGTATTAAACACACATTTAATTGAATTTATGCTTCGAGACTGAATGAGAAAAGGAGGTTAATACAAGTGACTGTAATAGTCTGGATCAGAAAAAATTTGTTCAACCACTTTGCTAACTCTCTATGATTCACAGTGGGTCAGTAGAAGAAAAAAAAAAATCATTCAATTTGATGAATGAACTAATTTTATTATTATTGATGCTGGGAATTGATTCTGGTAGTTTTAATTCTATTGGCTAAAGGATTATCAAGCTCTATATCTAAGTTTAAATTTTTAAGTGACTAGCACATGACGACACATCCACACGCCAATTTTTTGTGTCATCAACAAAATTAATCACTTTCTGATCTCGTTGAACTTAATTTCATGAATGATCTTCATTCAAAATAGTCTATACTCAAAATTTAAGATACATTCGCGAATAAATGTCTCCAAGACTTGTTCATTAGCGTCATCATTTGTATAGAATTTCTGTCACATTGCTGTTAAAACAAAGACGATCAAGAATTTCTATTTTTGTCGTCTGTAAAAAAATTATTTTTGTCCCAGGTGTAGGAACTTGTCATTTCTGATTGTTAAATTGTTACTTTTTTTGCTAGAGTTGTTTACTATTTTCTTTTGGCCTTAGGATTTTGTTGATGATTGTTTTGTATTTGACAGGGTGGATTTAGTCTAATTTATTTATTTCTTTCATGATGAGGGAATATTGGGGTCGTTTATCAATGATGGGCATCGATTATTGGAGATTTAATCTTCAATTTTTGTCATTCTAATTTAAGAACCTAACTTCCATGACTGTCAGTTTTTCTTAAGTACTAAATGTACCAAATGAGCCAGCAGTAGCACAGAAACTGATAGTAAATGTTAAAATACCCAAACAACAGTCATACAACAGTTTAATTGATTTTGAACTTTCACTTAATTTTAAAGTTCAATAAAATATTCAAATCCAGAAAAACTGTTGAGATTTTAAAATAAAGTAAACAAACCAGAAATCGAGTCGTGTAAAACTTAATTTTAAAAGTTTTTGCAATATTTCATCAGAAAATAGCTAGTAAGGCTTAGACAATTTACATAATATCATGCGCTAGATCAATAGAGATCCAGCCAGGAACAAGAAGCAACTCTTTATTGCCATAAATGCGCTAAAATCAATCAATAATCCACAACTTTTCATGTTTGTTGAGTTTTTCGTATTTTAATCTTTTCTCTATTTTCATTGCAGATTTATCGTTTTTGGTGGAATTGAAGCATACATAGGAGCATAGCAGCTACATCACTCATAATTATTATTCAATTACGTCCAGTATAATTCAGTGCATATAGGGAAAAAATAAACAAAAAAAATACAATATAAATACTAATAAAACAAATAAAGGAAAATAAGCATGTCGTCGGGTACTTTTGTGGATAGAATAGATCCATTTGCGAAGCGTTCTTTAAAAAAGAAAAGTCGCAAGTCTCAGGGCTCATCAAGATATCGAAATTCTCAAGATGTAGAACTACAACAATTACCGCCGCTTAAGGGTAAGGAACAGTAAATTCATTAATAAGCATAATCTTATCAATCGGTGCCTTCTTTTTGTGCCTGCATTCTAATTTGCTTACTTTATTTTCCTTTACTGTATTTTTTAGTTGACCTATCGAGTATGGAACAAGAAGAATTATTCATACGAAAATTGAGACAATGTTGCGTTTCATTTGATTTTATGGATCCAGTTTCGGATTTGAAGGGAAAAGAAATAAAACGTGCTGCACTTAACGATCTATCTGCTTATATAACGCATGGACGTGGTGTCCTTACCGAAGCAGTATATCCAGAGATTATAAGAATGGTATGTCCTGTTGAAAGTCTTGGTCAATGCCAATTTACCTGCCAAAAAACTCTTATTGTTGGCAGACAAATGTCCATTAATAAAGCTCTAATCGACAAAATTTTACTTTTAGATTTCTGTAAATCTGTTTCGCACATTGCCACCAAGCGAAAATCCAGATTTCGATCCTGAAGAAGATGATCCAACGTTGGAAGCATCATGGCCGCATCTACAATTAGTATATGAAGTATTTTTACGCTTCCTTGAATCGTCGGACTTTCAGGCTACAATTGGAAAGAAAGTTATTGACCAAAAATTCGTTCTGCAGGTTTGTGCATGCAATGTTCTTTAATTTCCCAATTACTTTTAGTCCATTACTTGAAACAACAAAGACTAAAAGTGAATAAGAAGAAACTGCTGACATTTTTATTGATTTTGCTGTATTTTTTCATTCTTATTTTAGTTGCTTGAACTATTTGACTCAGAGGATCCAAGAGAGCGCGATTTCTTAAAAACAGTGCTTCATCGTATATATGGAAAATTTTTGGGCCTTCGCGCCTTTATACGGAAACAAATTAATAATATTTTCTTACGTTTCATATACGAAACAGAGCATTTTAATGGAGTAGGAGAATTGCTGGAAATATTGGGAAGGTACGTGAATATTTGAACGTTATTTTTATATAATGACATGGAGGATTATCGTTTATGCTACATATGATTTATACAATTTCATTGGGGATAAATGCCTCTCTCACTCTCGACTTCTTATTAATATTTATATTTTCATATCTTTTTTTTTGCAGCATTATCAACGGTTTTGCATTGCCACTTAAAGCTGAACATAAACAATTTTTAGTAAAAGTTTTATTGCCATTGCATAAGGTGAAATGTTTATCGCTGTATCATGCTCAGTTGGCATATTGCGTTGTCCAATTTCTTGAGAAGGATGCATCTCTCACGGAGCCGGTCGTTCGAGGATTACTTAAATACTGGCCAAAAACATGTTCCCAAAAAGAGGCGATGTTCTTGGGCGAGATTGAAGAAATATTGGATGTGATTGAACCACCTCAATTCGTGAAAATTATGGAGCCCCTTTTTAAGCAAATTGCCAAGTGTGTTTCAAGCCCTCATTTTCAGGTATGTCATCGTTAATTTTTAGTGCTGAAATTTTTCTTGATTTTTCCTTTACATAATGCGCTTCCACTTTGGCCAATTGCCTATGATTTTTCATTTCTCTCAATTTTATTTAATTTATTATTAATAGCGTACGCATTCTTATTACGTTTAGCTTCTCAAATAAATTGTGTCTAATTGCGTCAGGCTAGTGCCACTTCGTTTGGAGAAACTTTGAAATTTGAGTCGTTAATTTTCATTTTTATAACGGTCTTTTTTTGAAATGACACCAGCCTGGAATATTATACTGGGGGTCCTCGATTTGAACAGAAAATTTTTTACCCACCAAAATATTCGATTTGAGTAGATTTCTTCCTGTTTTCTTGGATTTGAACTGTTTACAAAACAAATATTTTTGATAAAAACATTTCAGAAAATATTTTTAAAACATAAATTTTACTACAATAAGCGTGAACTTATCATATTGATAGAAAAATCAATACTAAAGTTACAAAATTAAAGTAAAAATTTAAAAAATCGATATAAAATTAACGGTTTTAAAAAGTTTAAATTCAAAAACCTTACAAATTGTTTGGAGAAATAACATTTGCAAGGTTCTCATATTTTTGTTTTGTTTCAAAAACATATTTTTTGTGAATTTCTGCTTAAAAACAATATGAATATGCGTTGAAATAAATTAAGTTATCTAAAACACATAGGAAAAGTTAAGAAACGAGGTAAAATGTGCAAAAAATTATCAAAATTTTCATTGTTTTGATACATTTTTTGGACTCTGGAACAAAACATGTAATTTTGTATGGATTCTTTGCCTCGATTTGAATAGATTCGATTTGAGTAGAAATTTTTTGGAACAAAACAACTACTCAAATCGAGGACCCCCAGTAGTTTAAATTGACTAAACTATAAGGTCAAAAACTGCTTCTTTTGGTTCTGTTCGAAGAAATGGAGGCTCGTGTTGATCAATTATTGATGAGATTTTTAAATTGATTCTTCATACATTTTGTAATGACAATTGAGCATGTAATTCGCGATTTATTGGGGTTTCTAGTTTATTTGTTTGTTGACTTACTAGAAGCTTGATGAATTGCTTTTGTTGATTTACTGGAAGGCCGTTTTTAATCGTTCATAGACGATGTTTGACTTAAAGTAAGGCGGGAGTGTCTGAGGATGTTCCGACCAGAACTGAATTAAAATTAATCTTGAGATTAAAAAAATAATCCTCGGATTAAATCTTCTTTTCTAGCTTTAAACCCTTAAAAGTATCTGGCAAAGCCTAAAATAGCATCTTAACTAGTACACGAATCCTTTAATCCACAAGATAGTCTATACATGAGATATAATTAACAGAATCTTCTACTTGAATTATTAACAATTCTTTAGTCGATTAATCAAAGACAGACATACTAAATCTTCATCGGAAATGCCTATAAAAATGAATCAAATTGTCTAGAATCTTAGAGTAACAAATAATACATTGCTATGCTCCATACGATTCTGTTAAATTTCCTTCAAAGACTTTCATATACGTGCTGACGTTCTTGCTCAATTTAATTGAAGTATTTTGTACGTGATGCGGTGCTTGTTCTTAATTTATGACAAGTTACATTGTATTACACGAAGCAATTACATTCTTTTATGTGCGAAATTACAGAAAGTACGACTCAATTTAATATAAAATGTCCTCATTTTGTTTTGTAATTCCTTCATGTCCTTTAGTGGCTATCGGAATGTTTTACGGCTTATAAAGGGTTATTCGAATTTAATGTCTAACATTACTGCTGTTCTCATGCTCAAAAAAGCACAATGTTCTGACACATTATTTATAAATAAACCCTACACAAACGAATGCAAATCTAGAACTTACGCTATTTATCTAGTTTCATGGTAATGTTCGTCCTTGCTTAATTATACTATTTATCGCGATTGATAGTCGATTTTACGCATTTTCGTGTACGTTATCTTGCTTTGATTTTGTTTATAGCTATAGAAGCATTTGCTATGCTATAAATAGATCTCCATCAAAGAAGAAAAGCACGATGTAACTCTGTTAAGTTCATTCATTCATAATAATCGCTCACATTTGTATTAATATCATAACTTTTTCTTATGATTTAAAATTTCGTTTCAACAATGAAAATAATGAAAGCAGCCCTTATGTAAAGGAAAAGCGTTTCATACTAATTTGGTTCTCTTCGTCATATTTCCACTTTATAATTGAATTTAATTATTAATACATATCTTTTTATTTTTTCTATTTTTATATTCTTTCCATTCTTTAGGTGGCTGAACGTGCATTGTATTTTTGGAATAATGAATATGCAATGTCATTAATTGAGGATAACAATGCTGTTATAATGCCGATAATGTTTCCAGCTTTGTATCGTATTAGCAAGGAGCACTGGAATCAGACAATTGTTGCACTAGTTTACAACGTTCTGAAAACATTTATGGAAATGAATTCGAAATTATTTGACGAATTGACAGCAAGTTATAAAGCTGAAAGACAAAAGTATGTACTAGTTTTTTTTTTTTTTTTTTTGATAAGAGTACTTATATATGCTGTTGTGCAGTTCCAAGTGCATTTTTGTAGAAACAATAGATTGATGGATTTGTGTGTTCAATTTTGATTGTGAGAGAGTTGACAAGTTCAAAAAAACCGTTGAAACAAAATTTTAAAATATTTTGACCTTCAATTTAAATTCAGAATGACACTTAAAATTTAAATTCAAAATAATCGTTATATAACTCCAATCAATAACAAATTTATTGTCGGTTTATTCAATTGAACAATATTGTTTACAGCAAAAATGCACTATAATCATCCGCTCTACATTATTATTTGTTTAAAAAGCAGGAAATTAATTCGAAAATTATTTTTCTTCATTCATGTTCAATTATATAATTATAGAGAGAAAAAGCGCGAACGAGAACGTGAAGAATTATGGAAACGTCTTCATGAATTAGCTGATGAGATTCAAAAAGGTGATAAACATGGAACGATAGGTACATTACCAACAATACCGTCGTCGACAACATCAGGTGATGTTGGTAGCAATCAATTGAACAGCACTGCAACAAATAATCAGAACAACCCAGCTGCATCATCAGCAAGCCATTCAGCTTCAGCTATAAGTACGCAAATGAATTCATTGTCAATAAGTGCTGCTGGTGGTTCCATGTCCAAGTGATGTAATAATTCTAATGGTAAGAGTAAAACTAACAAAATTGAATGTTGTTGATTCTTTTAAAAAAAATAATAATTGCATACAAAAAAAAATTACACAAAAAAAAGCATACCAGCATGACGGTTAAAAAAAGTTTTTCTTTCAACTACCATAGAATATTTCATTCTTTTTCTTTGGGACAATTTTTAAGAAATAACAAGAGAAAAGTTATAAGAAAAAACTTAAAAAATACTTCTCTTTTTTTGTTACATATATTTTGTACATGATGTTTATCATTAGAAATCCTTCAATGCTTATACACGGAAAAATGGCTTTTTTTCTTCTCTTTCTTTAATTTAATTTACGACTTCTTTGTGATGATAATTCTTTCACCTTTAATTTTTAAAATGACTTTTTAATTATCCCTAATATCTAAAAGCAGCCACTTTTACGCAATAGAAATGTTTAGAAATACTTTTTATTTGTTTTTTAAAGATGATTTTTTTCCCTTTTTTTGCAAGTAGACGATGAAATGAAATTCTTTTTTTTTTATTTGATAAAATTATATGATTTCAAAGTTGTATAAAAAAATGAAATGATGATAAAAATGAGAAAATATTGCTTATTTCAAATTGTAATTGCAACTGCATAAATAAACAAGATGAGTAAATGAGAAATGAAAAACTATTATAATGAAATTGGAAAAAATAAGATTAAAACTAATTCAAAGAAAGTATAATTTTCATTTTAATGTAAAAATATTAAAGAGAATATATATTAACATTAATAAAAAATGAATAGAAAAACTCCCAAAAAATGAATTAAACAACAGATGAGTAAAATCGAAAAATAATAATTCTAGTTTTTAATATTATCAAATTTATGGGGTTGTGGGGGATTTAAACAGGTGTGAGTGAGAGATTAGAGGAAGATTTGTTAACTAGCATGTCATAAATTTTGCTAAATTACTCTAGGACCCTTAAAATATGAATTTGAAGGTATTTATTTTAAATTACTTAGTTGAAAACCCTACAAATTCATTATTTATCTATTAAAACATCACAAATTCTGAAAACTGACTTTAAAACATTACAAATGTTACTTTTTCAACGTGGAAACCATACAAATTCCATTACTGTGCTGGAAAACCATTTAAATGTCTTCTTTAAAACCATACAATTCCATTCGAATACTCAATTTTTAAGACATTTGTATGGTTTCGAGAATTCAGTTCAAATATCTTTTAATTTTTGAACTTTAAGATATCAAATGAATATCGAAGCATGACTTATTTCGATCCTCGATGCTACCTACCGAATTTAGAATTATTAAACTGACTGAAATAAGAAATCGAATCTGAGATTTCCTTTTTTAAAGTATGAATTGAATTGTTATGTTTTTAAATCGAAATAAGTCAGCAGATCATGAATTGAAGAGAACTAGATTCTTGATTACAAATTGTTAAAGGCTCGGTCGAAGTCATTCTGTTTATTTTTGGTTCAGAGATATGAATAGGAAACATTCAATAAGTTAACAAAAATTCCAACAATCTTACACACATAACCTACAAGCTCCTTCAATACGAAAAAAAAAGTTAAAAAATATCCTTTGGCCATTTCAAACAGCAAACTACAAAGATTAATCGATTAATTCTTAATTTTTTACGTTCATTATCATCAAAAAAAAAAACCTTTTTTTTTGTTCGCATAAAAGTTTAAGAAGAAAATACACACTTACAACAACAACAAAGAAACTATAACGCTAAATAATTGATTGATAATTGAGTGTTGAAAATTTCTGAGGATATATTGTGGGTCTTTGTTTTTTGTTCTAAAACGCTTCCTTTTTTTCTTCTTTTTTTTTTTTGTTTTACAGAGATTGAGACTAGGGATGATCTGAGGATGAAGAATTTATGTTTTTGTCAAGATTAATGACTTTTTTTTGTGCTCTTTAGTAAATTCAAGATTATAATGCTCATAAGCAGGACATCTTATGGTCGAATATTTTTCAAGAAAAATTCAAATGATTTGGCAATTTTAGAGTGAATCAGTCCTTAAAATATCCTAATATGAAGTGTGTTTAATTTATTGATCAGTAAATGTACCATAAAAATATAATAAATTCTGGTATGTACATATTCAGCTTTTCTGTTTTATTTCCCACCAATTCAAAATTTATATATTTTCTATTCATCTTTTAAAGCTATTGAATAAGCAGGCTTTTAAAAGTTTTTCAAGGATAGAGCAGAGCTCCAAATTGACTTTTCCATACAAAATCTAAATTGAAATCTTTAATCTCATCCCTGGATACACTCCCTATTTAAATGTCATAAACAATTAAGCACTAAGCATTAATCATGACTAAAGACAAAAATAAATAAATTTTATCGATTTCTGTGAAGTTCGATAACTATTTAAAAATGATCATTCATGCTTTAATCCTACAAATCTGGTTGAGTTTCTCAATGTGTACATCTGATTAACTTTGGGGAAGGTTCTTCTTGTTGCTAGCTAAAGTTTGAAGTTGATTCTGTTTAGATTGAGTCTTCTAAACTTCAATCTTTGCTCTTTTAACATTGTCATAATTTTGTGCTATTAAATCTAATAGACAACTAGGTGCAGGAGCATCGATTTGCAGCAAAAGTTTCTAAATTCAACTCTTAGTGGGTTTGGGTTCGGAAAAATCTTATGAAAATTGAATTGTTTTTTGTCAAGGCATTTACACTTCGGGATTAATCCCGAAAATTGCAGCTTTTTCTGGCATCTAGCATCTCAGTAAGAGCTAGAGATTAATCCTGAGTGTAAATGCTTTGTGTGTTGTGCAAATCGATGACTCCTGTAACCTCTCCTAGTACCAAGAAGCCTCCCCTAAAGTTCAGATAGTGACTAAGGATGTTTTTATTTTTATAAGAAAACCAACTTATAAGACCTGCCAAAAAAAAAAGATTAGGAAATTCATATGTCCAGAATGAGTGTAATGAGTGTCTAATTAATAAAATATATCCAGTAGAAACAAAATCTATGACCTGCAGCTTTATAACAAGATAATTAATAACGAATAAGAAGCTATATGAAGTGTAAGACCAGAAGCTTCATAAAAATTGTATAAATTATTTCCCAGAAAATAAGGCTCAAAAATTTTCCAATCACTCAATTGTCAGTCACGAAATAAAATAATAAAAAAAACAAGTTCTTACAATCAAGCCTACGATCATAAATTAAAAAGAAAAAAAAATATTATAAATATAAATAATAATAATTAAAAGAAGAAGAATGGATGAGCAAAATAAAAATGAATAGTTACGTTTTTCTGTTAATAATGGTGATTAATTAATGGACTCTATTCCTGAGAAATGAGAAATAATAAAATAATAAAGTAAATTAATGATGATGTCCCATGTAAGTGAAAGATGCAAAAAAACATTAAGCAAATAAATAATAAAGAAAAAAAAAATGTTAGGAGATAATTTTTATTATCAAAATAAAGGTCTTAGACTGCATAAATAATAATAATAATAATAATAAAAAATGTTGGAGAAAATGTGAACATTTCATTGCATAGTGATTTTTTTTAAATATTCCTAATTTTATTGACTCCCCCCCTCACACCCCTCTGTCCGGCAAAATGACTTTTTCTATCTTAACTATCTCGTTCCTCCCCTCTTTCTTACTACATCAAGAAAAAATAAAATAAAATGATAACAAACATAATGGAAAGGCAGAGCAAAAAATAAATAAAAAAAAAATATTTCACAATTTATTCGCATTAAAACCATCGATAATCATTAAGGTCCATCTCTTTTTAAATTAAACTTATTGCAATCTATTAAACACAATAAAAACTCACAGACATTGTAGCGCATTAGAAGGAAAGACACGCCCGAGCAGTGCTGAGGAAATTGGCTGTTCAATGTTGATGGAAATGCGGTTAGCTGGTGTTTAGATTTAGGTTCTTCATAATAGACTTCGCAATGATTTGATTAAGCAAATTCAGTCTTAAATCTGGCATTTAGAGTCGATATTTAGATAAAAACCTATATCCAACCAAATAAGCCTTGTTGGACTAAGAAATCCTCTCTAGGATGCTGACTAGTAGCCTTCCAGGAGCAAGGCACAGTTAGAATTAAGCTACCTCTAGGGTTCCCAAAAAAAAATTGCTTTCATCGAGCAGCAAATCTAGTTTTGGATGTAAAATAGCTTGCGACAAGCTGTCTACATTAAAATTCTTAATTGTCAACTTCTATCCTCCCCTGCTTACCGCATTTTCCAGTTCTCTAGATTGTCTCATCGCAAAATGTTTCTTGTAGCCGATTTCCTTTTCAGCACAGCTCGGGACTACCAACATTGATGAGCGTGTAATGTAAAATAATAAGGTTGCATGTGGGAAAATTTACAGAACATGAAGATGTGTATGCAAATGAAAGTTTAATTAGAATTGAATTTTTCCCCCTTTCTTGTTATTATTGAATTGCTTTTTAATGGATTTTATGCTGTTTTATGATACAAAGTAAGTAAGAGAAGTTTTATTGCTGTTGTCTGAGGTAATAAATGCGATGGAAAAGACTATTGGAATGGGATGTTCGATTTAATTATCGTGGCTTTAAGGTGAAGAGTTAGTTCTTAAAGCTGTATTAAAAGTTTTGTAACAATGATGAAATAAGTAAGCAAAAAAATGGAGATCTAACACTGATAAGGAAATTTGATAATTTCAGTAGGATTTGAACCTACAAATTTTGAATTATGTTCGTAAAGTTTTAATCAATACAATTTTCTGCGAATTTTAATTTTGCTAAAAGTCGTTTTTGGTAAAAAAAATCCACGAAAATAAACATAAAAAAAGTTATAACAAACAATTGAACATCAAATATATTTATGAAAGGAATCGAACCTATGAACTCTTCGGAAGTTATTTAAATTCCGAATCAACTTTTAATTATAAATTTATTAATCTTGTATTTTATATTCGAAGTAAAAAATGAACTAAGATTCTGAGTGCTTGAACTTCCTACTTCTTTAATTCTTTAAATCAGCAGTATGCAAATATCCCACAAAAGAAAGAACATCTTGAAAAAAATGAACTCTAATGTCTTTGAAAACTATTCATAAAACTGCATGAACCTTCATTTTAAAATAATAATAATATTCACTTAAGCATCAAAAAGAAAATTCAATTCAAATAAAAAAAGTTTCATTTGCACACCATTTCTGTACATTTGCCCACATGAGAACAAAGTGACGGTTGCATAAGAAGAAATAAGAAAAAGAATCACATTCATGAGAGTTATCAGAGTAAAAAGTAAAATAAGAAATGAAAAATATTTTAACAAAAGAAGAAAAATTACATAGATATGCCATACATAGAATGAGAACATGCAAATAATAATTTAAAAAAACTAGATTAAATGTAATATTTTTAGAAAACGAGAAAGAAAAATTTTTGAAATTTTAATACAAAAAAGTCAAAAAAGATAAAAAAAAATTAAAAATAATGAAAAACTTTGTGTGGTAAGACTTAAAAGAAAGAAACTCAAAGATGTGGGCTCACTTTTTAACTCAAGAAACTATTAAAACTCACAAAAATATTCTGCATAATAGATCCTGAAGATAGATTCGCACCAAAATTTCAAAAAATCTTGGCAAAATTCTTATTTAAACTTAAATGATCTCTAATTAGTTTTGGCTGGGATGAAGAAATTTCAAAATAGTGAACACAGTTCTTTTTAAATATTTTTTCGCTTAGATTTGAATATTTTAATAAAATAGTCATGAGTAATAAATGGGATGTTGGTGGCAGATGTAGTGCATTAATCTTTCCTCTCGTGAGACAACTGTTGGAAATTATTCAGTTTTTCTGACGAAGAATCTAGTTTATGATGAATATACTTAAAGCTTTTTGGACATAGTTGCTCTAAATTCAAGTTGATGGACTTTAAGGAAGTGATCAAATGTAAGAATTCCTGTGTTGTTGCAGCTTTTAACTTGAATCAACTCTCAATTTCAAACCTTAATGTTCAATAGTCCTTTAATTTTAGTACAAATCCTTTATTACTTGCCAATTCAATCAGTCAATTTTAATAGCTCTTGCTCAAGCTGTAGAACCTTTAACGTTGCAAAATACTCGAATCTCCAACGATTCATCAACATCACTTGCAAATTATCAAAAGCTTAAATTCCACTCATTTTATACTAATTTTCAATTCACACCCCAAAGGGATTTACATAGCTTTCATAACAAAAAGTCCATAAATTAGAATCCAAGTTGTCAACTGAATAATAATAGTCCAGTAATTGCTCACATGAGATAGCTTTTCATTCTGTATAGCGATTTATTATCTTTGTAAATTAGCAATTTTTTTACACTATAAACTATGACTAAAAGACTTTTAAAAATCGCTTTTAAATAACACAAAAAAATAATATTATCATCATGAATCAACTAATATAGCATGAGCTATGAAAATGTCGATGTAAAAAATTCATAAAGTCGTTATTTGTACACTTTTTTGGTACCTTTACATAACTATTTGTATAATGAGAGAGAAAAACGTTGTTGACAGTCGCTTGATGTACACTATTTTGAAATTTATGTTATATTTTCACGTTGCTTTGCATCCTTAGTAGATGAAAAAGAAAGACTTGCTTTCTGAAGCTTTATGAATGTATTCTTTGAGATGTGAATAGTTGGAGAAATTAAAAAGTGTTCTTGGTTTTATGTCTTGGAAGTTTGAATCAATATTAAATTCTGTGGTATTTGGGATATCCTAGACTAGGGTATCGACTAAACTTTTGTGGGAGACACACTGATTTCAAGAAGATTGATTCACCCCTCGACTTCGTCCAAGACTAAGGTTTATACAAAAAGAAAAAAGTCCCTTAGCATTATCTTGATATTTTTCACAACTATCCCCAACCTTGACTTTACTATTATTTACTTTCCATTACATCTCCAATCTATGAATTCATACTTTTTTTGAATATTAATATATTAATTAATTATAATATAGTCAGCAATAAAATGATAAAGAAAAAAAAATCAATTATAATTATTTAATAAAACAAAAGAGGCAAAATGGTGGAAAATAGGTTAAAATAACACAAAACAAGCACTTCAGGATATGAGTTATGAATGTTTATGCCCTCAATATAAAAATTGAATTTAAAAATTATGGCCAAATGAGGAATAAATAAGCAGATGAAGTCACCACGTAGATCATTTATAACACAATTACACACATAAAAGAAAGAGAATGAAACCGTAAAAAATAAATATTGAATTAAAGATGAAGATTAACAAATAGGCTTGGGCAGAGGGCGAAGTCGACTCGGATTTTGTATGGAAAAGTCGACTTGAGTTCACTCGACTTCATACAAATTTCGAGTCGACTTCGCCCTCTGGGCTTGGGTTTTCGTATTGGATGAGATGATTAAGTAAGGTACTTTTTTGAGGCATCATTAACACGGAAAAAAGATGTTGAAAATTTTGTCGAGAGCTTTGACCTTTTAATTATCAAGACCAGTCATATTTTGAGGAAACGCTTTTGGGTTGAAGTACTTGAGAATTAATTAAAAGCTTACAGATGTAAATCTTGTTGAAAGTTTTGGGTTTTAGATGAGATTTTGGTAATTTAATTTTATCGGTTTAGTCTTATCCGATGGAGAATCTGACTACATTGAGCCATGTTAATCACACAGAAACATGGTATTAAGCTACACAATGATTTTGATTTGAATGTGAGGTAGTTTTTAAGAAATGATAGCCTTAGCTTACTTGTGCTGCTTGGGTACCATTACTGGTCCTTCAGACCACTAGTGTTTCATGGTTTTACTGGGTTTCGACCTTGTTGAAACCTCTAGATTGGTCTTTAACCAGCGCTGTTAGTGAATTTCGGTATTCATCAAATGATTCCTTAAAAAGTGATAACTCAATCATCTAATCCAATACAGAGAATCCATAAAATACGAAAAATACCATCATTATCAGTTTATAAACTATGTAAAAAAACACTCAAATGGAAAAACTTTATAAATATACTTCCTTTTAATTTCAAGAGATAGTAATTGTAGAAAAATTATGATAAAAAAACGTAAATTAACATTGAAACTACACACAAGAAAAAAAAACTTACACATTTCTGCAATGAAAGTCAACATAAATGCTTGTAAAAAAAATATTCATAAAAAAACTTTAATTTTGCATACAAATGAATAGAATCCAAGAAAGCATTAAGCAGCGAAAGTAATCAAATAAATGAAATGTTTTTTAGAGATTATGTTCTCCTTTCTGTAACGAATTCGTTGATAAGCTTTAACAAAATTTTGATTTCAAAAAATTGAGGAAAATCGCGAAAAAAAATGAAATTAACAAAACTTTCTTTGGATATACCTAAAGATAAAATCACACATTATATGTTAATAATATTATTAGATTTTTGTTAATTCAGGTGAGATAAGGAGTAATAAGGGAATGATATGAGAATGATTAAATGATAAATAATCTTTGCTCAATACACAATACATGGAAGGCACCTTCTTTTTCGTTTTTATTCTTAAACTTTGTTTCTTTCTATTTTGGGGATGATAAGTCAATTGAAATTGTAGACTTCATGCTAAGTAAGGACATTGAACCATACAACTGCTAAAGATATTAATCAAAAATCGTTGTAGAATAACTTCCAGAACCTTATTTTTGTGTGATTCAATGTTGACTTGCTTAGATCTTGAGATATTTCAGTTGACTTTAGTTCCTTTTAAGTTTTTTTATTTGGAAGCAGATCTTGAAGTTGATTTGAATTATTAATTTGAATTCTTAATTTAGAAGTTAAATGGAAAATTCGAGTCAACTTCGAGATCTCGATTGAAGTTTGAGTTTGGAATATTTTGGAGGTAGTTTAGATTAATTCTTTAAGTTTGGGCTTTATAAAGAGAGTCAAATAGAGTTAATCTGGAGTATAAATATAATTCAGTTTGGTTCAAATAGTTTGGCACAGAACTATGAACTATGCAATTATATTGACATTGTTGATAACCACAAAAGCCAGAAGGATTGTTCAATATCATTGTAATCAGCATAATTCCAGGATTGAAATGTGTAACCTCAGGATCAATCCTTGAATATCCTAATTCAAAACATAAAGTTTACCTCCAAAAATCTTCCAATTCCAACTTCATTAAAATCACTTTTTCCTTCCTTTCTCTAAGCAACAAAACAAGCGTAATGTGTCTACATCTATCTACATACATAAATTAATGAATGAATAGATGATAAATGCATTAGTATGAATACATTGGCTTCATGCGATAGGTAGTTATTTGTTTTAATGAATTATTTCTAATTTCCTTTAAAAATAATGAAGAAATGAAAAAAAAAATCGATATGCTAAATAAATTAAGAACCTTTTAACTTACTTATTTTGATTTATGTTTTTCAATATATATATACATACATATTATATATAATTGAAGCCAATGCATGAATAATATATTTTAATAAAAAAAAGTAAACAAAAAAATGAAATCATTAAGCAAGTAAAAAAAAGTCTACTTTTATATGTGCAGAATCAGAATAAATGATAAAAGAAAAATAAATATGAGATGAAAAAAAAAAATTAGTGCTGAGAGGTGTGAGAATACCTCGAGCAGTCAAAAAAATGAAAAACGATCAACAATTACAAAAAAAAAACCTATGCATAGAATATTTATTATTGCAAAGATTCAGTCAAATGATTTATATTAAGTTTAATAAAGTAAAAAAAAATTATATTGAAAAATAATAAAAAAATAACTGTGTTTTAATTAAATTAAGATTTTTTGGAATTTATTACAGAGGATCTTAGGGGCCGTTCACTTATGACGTCCAGTGGGGGGAGGGGGGGGGGGGGGGGGTCAGCAAGAAAAGAACAAAAGAAAATCCAGGAAATCCATTGTTCTTTTTTGAAAAATAACCGTTAATTTCGGACTTCATAAGTGAACGACCTCTTATGCTTATTGATAATTTGACGAATTTCGATAAGGGGCCGTTCACTTAGACGTCCAAAATTAACGGTCATTTTTCAAAAAAGAACAATGAAATTTCAGGAATTTCTATTGTTCTTTTCTTGAAATCCCCCCCCCCCCCCCCCCCCCCCCTCCCCCCCCCTGATTTCAAAAGTGAACGGCCCCTAAGTGATTATCTCATTACAGTTTTCCCGTTCAACCTTTATTTAATACAATCTCCTGTTAAAGTAAAATGATATTCTAAAAGTTACTACAAGTGCTTAATCAAATTTATTTTGACTTTTTGACTTTTGATAATCCTTGATAATGTTAGGGGCTGTTCACTTATTACGTAACGCGAAAAAATGACTTCTTAGACCCCCCCCCCCTCGTAACAAAATTTGTATGAAAAAAAAATTTCCTTGTTTGAATCGTAACAAAATCTTAGACCCCCCCCTCCCCCTAAAAGCGTTGCGTAATAAGTGAATGGCCCCTTACGATTGTAAAGTTTTTTAACAAGAAGGAAATATTATTTTTGGTGATAAGAGCCAATGCCTGCTCATTTCAATCAGAAATGTTTTTCAGTCTAAAACTTCTGTTAGGAAAACATGTCAATACTTACACATTTACTAAAGGTCTGGCTGAAATACTTGCATTGCAAGAGACGAAAGGTCTACCATTTAGCATTATTCGACCTTCTGGTGGTTAGTACTGTTAATAAGGATGCTTTAAGATTTTAATTTGAATTTTTACTACAAAAAAGTTTGTCCTTCAATTGTTGAGCCTAAAGTAGGATGGGTTGACAGCTATACAGTAAGTCAAATTACAAATGAAATATGAGTCATGAAGATAAGATAAATTCTAAAGCTAATGACGTTCTTAATTCCAGGCTCTCGTACCTTTTATTGACACAATTCAGGCAGGAATTTTTAGATCTGGAATTATTGGTAGAAAGAATATTTCAGACGTAGTTCCAGTTGATATGGTAAGTACTAAAATCAAAAATTCGATATTAATGATTTTAAGTACCAAATGTAGGTTTCAAACTTGACAATTGCTGTGTCATGGAAAGTGGCAAACGATGGTGCACAGAATAACGATGCTCCATCAATTTATCATAGCTCATCAGCTACTTCAAATCCTATTGTTTTTGAGGAAATGTTTAGATTGACGATTGAAAATGCAAAAATTTATCCACCTAGTGAGAATTTGAAACTTTATTTATTTATAACAAGTCTTGAAACTTCATTTCTTTAGGTTACATTGCTTGGATGCCACAAATAAGATACCATGAAACAAAGCTAGCTGACAATATTGATAGATTCTTTACAGGCTATTTGTTTGTGAATGTAATGGACTTTATGTTGGTTATGTTTGGAGGCAAGCCAAAGTAAGTAGAAAAATGTCTTTTGGTTTTTGACTTGCATCTATTAAGTTTAAATTGAATTCAAAGAAAACAAAAAAATGGATTAAACTGCAAAGAATAACTTTTGACTTTTGGGAATTTAACACACTACTTTTAATTTGTAGCCTAGCACTCTTATCTTATAAGATGTCATTAAATTGTCTTGATTTGTCAAAATTTGACAGAATGATACTTTTAATCATATCTTGGGTTATGAACATTACTATGCGTTATCAGCAGGGATCGATACTTTGTTTTGAATTTTTACTTCATATTCGAGTTATTAAAATTCGAGTCGAAAATTTATGTTTTTTTGTTCAGAGCTGCAAAATCACTTGATAGAATAATGAAAATGTATGACGTTCTTAACTTCGCTCACACACAACCAGTAAACGTCATATCCAATAATTACAAGAAACTAATGAATTTAATGAACGAATATGATCAAAAAGAGTTTTATTTTGATCCATCTACCATAAAATGGCCAGAATATAACAAGAATATGTTGTTTGGGATTAGAAAGTATATTTGGAAGGAAAGTGGAAATCCACAAGATTCATTTATTGGCAAAAAGAAGCTCAGAATGTGAGTTAATCATTTAGAAAACTGACTTAAGATTCTAAAACTTAATAATTTTTTCTTCTGTAGAATAAAAGCTGTGAGTTTTTTACTGAATGTGCTAGCTCTTGGTGGAGCAGCTTATGGCTTCAAAAAAGGTGGTGAATGTTTGTTAAGTAAATTGTGAAATCAAAATAAAAAGTAAAAATTTAAATAAATTGTTCGTAATTAAGTTGCATGCTTTTTATTATTTAATTAATTTAAGGTTTATTTTTCATTCGAAAATATAAATTTCATTAGCTTATTCTCTATGAATCGAGCAAGTTTCTATTTCTCAGAGAGCTAGCTATCAAAGAACTCTTATCGACTTAATATTTTTGGCTTTTATGATATGATTAGTACAAACTTTACGCGACGAAAACAGTCAACAAACTGATTTTCATTAAGTCACATCTGTTTTTTTGAGCTGATTAGTTTGACCTTGATCAGATTTTTTAAAAGTATTTACTTTGACAAGCTCCTTAATGCTTAAAAATATTTATTTTGACAAGTTCCTCAATGCTTAAAAATGTCAATTTCAAAATATTCTTCAATTCCTGAACTTTACAATGGAAAAAATGTTTTAGTAACTGGTGGAACTGGATTTTTAGGCAAAGCTATTGCTGAGAAGCTTTTAAGATCATGTCAAGGAATTGAAAATATTTATTTACTAGTTCGTCCAAAGAAAGGCAAAAGTGTTAATGATCGACTTATAGAACTCAAAAATTCATCAGTTTTTGATTTGATCAGAGAAAATAATGAAGAATTATTGAACAAATTAGTTCTTATAGAAGGTGATATAGCATGTTTAGAACTAGGAATATCAAAAGCTGACCAGGAACTGCTTTGTGAAAAAGTGTCAATAATACTCAATTCAGCAGCAACAGTGACCTTTAACGAGCCTTTGAAAATTGCGGTATTTACAAATCTACGATCATTGCGCGAATTGATAAGATTAAGCCGACACATGAAGCTATTGGAGGTAAAACTCTAAATAGTGAAATTATGTCATGGCTAGAAACTGCATTTGTTTGATTGTTTCTATAAATTTCAGTCGTTTGTCCACATATCCACATCCTACTCAAATTGGTTCGAGATCAATGTTGAAGAAGAATTTTATCCCATTAAATATGATCCAAATGCAGTCATAAATATGTGTGAATCTTTTCCTGAAGATGCCTTAGAAAAGGTTTGAATATCTACTCAAAGTTTAACTTCATTTAAATCATTAATTAATTCTTGATATTTAGTTTAGACCAATTTTAAAAGGCAGACATGCAAATACTTACACGTTCACTAAAGCTCTATCAGAGAATCTTATCTATAAGGATGCACAGGATTTACCATTTTCTATAGTAAGACCTTCAATAAGTAAGGGATTGTGTACATTTATAACATCTCTATAAAGCTAATCATTTTCTTTATGATGCAAGTTTGTTCAGCATTGAAGGAGCCCAAAGTAGGATGGATCGATAGTTATGCTGTTAGTCTTAAACTTTTCATTATTCATTGAATGTTATATCTGAGTTTCTTTTCTAGGCTCTCGTACCCTATACCGATTCAATCCAAAGAGGCACGTTTCGATCTGGTCGATTTTTGAAAAACAGCATAATTGATGCGATTCCAATTGATTTGGTAATAAAATGTTCTTTCTAGTAATATTCAAACTTTAATGAATCTCAAAAACTTTTCAGACTACAAATTTGATTATTGCAGCATCATGGGAAGCAGCTAATAATTATGATTCGAAACCTAGAATTCCTAAAATTTATCATAGTTCGACAGCAACTTCAAATACTATTTCATGGAAACAAATGTTTAATTTGACTGTGGAAACAGCAAGGAAGTATCCACCTAGTGAGTTTAAGTAGATTTTTTTACTTCTGTTTGAGACTCAAACTTACAATTTTCGGTTTATTGTAAATTTTAATTTCAAGATAACATTTATTGGTGGCCTCAAATGAGAATTTATAAATCAAAACGTGCCTTTGACTTTGATCAATTTTTGACCAATAGAGTTCCAGCGTACTTCATGGATCTTTACTCTACAATTTTAGGACGAAAGCCAAAGTATAATTTGAATTTTTAATCAAATTTCAAATGATTTCAGTTTATTTTCTTTCAGAGCACTTAAAATGTATCAAACATTCCAGCAACAGTTTGAAGAAGCTCAATTTGTTGCTATGAATCCCGTGAAAATTCTGTCTGGAAAGTATAAAGACCTTCAAAATTCAATGACCAAAAGTGATCAAGCTGAGTTTTATTTTGATCCAAAGTTGATTAAATGGCAACAATACACACAAGACTTTTGTTTTGGCATTAGAAAATACATTCGAAAGGAAAGGGAAGATCCTTTAGAATCAACAATTGGCAAGAAGAAGCTCAAAAAGTAAGTCCAACAGTTTAAAGTTTAAAGTTTTAATTTCATTTTCCATTTTATAAACGTAAAGCATTAAAATGACAAGATTGAGTATGAGAGCACTTACTGTTGGTGGAATACTCTATGGATGTGTAAAAGTTGGGCAGTATATTAAGAAAGAGAACAATAAGACTGAGTTCTATCTTTGCTAGAAAACAAAGATTATTGTAATAAAGTAACAAACTTAAAGATTATTATTGATCTGTAATTAAGTAATCGAGGTTCTTTAATCATTCACATACACCCCATATTTTCGAATTCACCCCCATCAACATAGAATAACAGTCAAAATAAATTTGAATCCGAAAGAAAATAAAATTAAAAGAATCAAAACCAAAATTTCAAAACTGTTCAAATTTCATCTTTCTATATGAATTAACAAGATATTTAGTCTAAAGCTTTCACAGGATTAATAATTAATTATAAAAGAACTATTCGCTTGACAGAAATATGTTTGAATTAAAGTGGCTAAGACGAATAGTGAGAAAAAAGACTAATCCAATTCCAGTGGATATAGCTCATAAATATAAAGGCCGATTGAGCTTTGTGTATGCTGTAAGTGAAAATGTTGCTCTATAGAATTAAATAGTTATAAATGTGTAAAATTTACAGTTTATAGCCTGGAATGCATTTGGATTAGTAATATTTCAAATATTTAGAGGAAAAGCTGATTGGGCAGGTAAAATATTCAGTGGTCTTTAAAAGACAACCTCCTAATTCGATTCCAATTTAGATCATCATGGACTTCCAAAAGAAGACGGCACATCAGCACAGCAATTCGCTAGAATGTTAAATATCCAGAAGGCAAAAGTTGTTAGAATTTCAGGCTTACAGACAGAACAGTACGACATAGATCATACAACAAATGAAACTGAATATGATAATAACAACTAAGAACTTCAGATGTAGATATAATTTTTATTAAAAATCATTTTTGATATACTATATTTATGATGAAGGCACTAATCCAGTCACATAGATCAAGAATAAATATTACAGTTTTAGAACCCAGCTAGAGTTCGTTAATTCTGTCAAGTTCAGTTTAAATGCTGTCCATGCTTTCTTTTCTCCATCTCACAGCTTATAGCAAGTCTAGTGGATATTAATTTTATTAGTTTTAAGGAATTTAAAGCAATGGCATTAAGCTTACCTCATTGATTCATATTTAAGGACAATATTATGCAACTCCTCTTTAAATAGTTTCGTTATCATCTCATTTATAGTCATTAACTGATTCACCTGAAACATGTTCCATTTAATGATGTGATCCTTTTCGGACGAGGATTTTGTGTAGATTTTCAACCATTTAGGAACATTCTGAAGGGTAAAGATTAGCATTAATCAACTGTTAGAACTCTATAAATTTGAGAATTTGTATGGCCAGTTTTCTCACAAGAATTGCAAATTTTTGCACATAACCTAGACAAAATGGAAGTTTAACTAATCGGAATACCACAAACATAATAAACAGAATCTGGATCATCAGCAATTGAGAGGAGAGTTTTTTCTCGCGATGGGTTTTGTGAGTTTTCCCAAAAATCGCGAGTAGGTTTTATCAATTATTTGGTGCTGATTGGATTTCAATAAATCTCAACATTGACAAACTGAATTTGTTCATCTCGGAATGTACCAGACAATTGGAAATGGTTTTTTTGTTGTTTTGACTTTTCGGCATGTTTTCTGTCAAAAATTTGACGTTGACTGGATTTTTTTAATAGTCTCTTTATGTATATTTATAATTGAAACAAGATAGAACTGTTGAAGATCTTTAAATAGTAATTCGCTGATAGACCTTAATAAAACTAAGTCACATAGTTCCATAGATCTCAAAATACTCACAACATTCAACAGTGGATTCGCAGGAACTAATGCTTGATGATGAATAATTGTGGGCTGTGCTTGATTATGAAAATGATATCCCGGTAAATAATAAGTAGTCCAGTAAGGATGATGAAGCTGAGCTTGCCTTGTTATGTAACTATAATAATAAGAATTTGTCAGTCAACTTTACTTCTTCTTCTGAATGGTCCTATTGAAAATTAATCAGAGCATGACTCACTTGTAATAATAAACAGATCCAGCAGCTTCAACACGTTGCCAGAATAAAGGCAGTGCATCTCGTTCAAGTGGATGTGACCAATGAGTCGTGGCCGTATTATGATCAATGTAATATTTCCTACGGCCTCTTAATGTATAGTCAACAGACCATCCTATAAAATATATTTTTCAATTGACTCAAATTATTATCGATTTGCTTTGCAATGCAAGAAATAAAGCTACAAACCTGGCGGCAATGGTAATTCTTCAACATTTAAATTATATTGTGGAGTACTACGAACTGTGGACAGTAATCGATAGTCAAATTGAGCTAATTTTATGGATTATTAATGTAGCGACTTACTTTGTGGAACTAAACCATGATGAATACTGGAAGGCAAATTAGCATAAGCTGCTTGTGTTGACGAACTGCTCGGCAGATTTGAATATAAATTCTGTGACGCAGAATAAAGTGATGAAACTGATGGAGGATTATTATGAGTGTTGCTATAAATTGGCGATTCAGATCGACGAACAACAGCTTGATTTTCATATATTGGTGATGCTAAACCTAAATCAAGCTGTTGTGGTTGCTGTTGAATTGGATTATTATCATTATAGTTGCTAATTTCATAATTAGAGTATTGAAAATTCTCATTTTGATCAGATTGTTGCTTCTGATACAATAGAGTTTCCAATGTATCAATTTCAACATAATTATTTTGACTATCACTTTGATTAACTAATTGACTGCTCGAAGGATGCGATTGTGCTAGGGTTCGATGAAAATATTGAGCTGTTGAGACATCCAAAGCCTGTTGTTGTTGCTGCTGTTGCTGAGGACTTGGCGAGCTCGTCTGTTGTAAATGCATGTTTGAAAATTTATTCGAAAGCTTATTCAATGCCAATTGTGAGTTTTGAGTGTATTTTCCTTGACCGATATTGTTGCCAAATGCATTGCTGCTTCCACTATTGGAACCATTTATTTTCAGCTTATTTTTTGCATCATCGTTCTGACGATTCTTTGACTTTGTGTTTTTCTGTTCAGTCGTTGTCCATACATTTATCACTATGAGGTGCACAAATAAAAAAATTAAAGTTTTATATATAGCAGAATGATTGAATTGCACAAACTGATCTTACATTTTATTTCTGGATTTAATGAATCTTTTTCTGTAAAGAAATAAACAAATTAATATTTCTTTTTTTATACTGGACTTTTGCATTTTGTCTTACTTATGTATTTGCCTGCTAGTCCTGTTTTGGTAGTCTTATCCTTCTTCCTTGAAAGCATGATTAAGCTTATGTTATAATTATTATCACGATAATATTGTAGGAATCAAGAAAATCACTAATTATGTAGATATGCTATACAGGAAATTGCTGACTACATCAGTTATTCAATGAATCACACAAGAAGCATTTCGTATTGTTTTATGGTCATTTTCTAGAGATTATTGCTCTTTGCTTAAAATGAATTAAATTAAAACCTTTCTTAAAACTTCGTTCTTTGTTTGATATTTTGATGGCTTCTTGCTATAAACTCATCCTTTGACGTTATTATCACAAAATTTAAAGGCTATAAGCTATGAAAAAATTTATATTCTAGTTTAATTGAGTTTTTAATTAACTAGCGTGAATTTTCAATTCTGTTTTGGTTTTTTTCTCACGCTTTTGTGAAAAGTTTTTTGTTCCTCTCACTTCGAAAGTTTTGATCTATTTTTCGACCACTTCTGCTTATTTCTATGCTATCAGGTTATTAAATGTTATTTATCTTTTGTGGCATGGCAGGGTTAGGAGGTTTTTGAATCCAAATAGTAACATATTGATGTGATATTTGGAAAATTTCAAAAAATCAGAAGAATCTAAAATGGCGTCTGTCATAAAAAATAACCAGCCTATAGAGAATGTTTGAGAAAGTCTATTATTTTATTAAATATGGTGCAAATCGACGTCTTCGATTTAATAAATCAAAAAATTGTAAAAGCTCAACATGACGTTGACTTAAAAGTTTTTAATTAAATGCGATTCGCATCATTCGAATTTTTGAAAATCGGTACTCGAGAAACGGTGCTCGAGTTTAGAGCATTTAGAAATTTCTCAAACCCAAGTTGAAGCTACTAAATCGATAGGAACACAATGCAGTTTATGAATAATTAAGTAATAGTTCTGCAATAAAAGTATTAATTTCTAATTTGACTAAGTACCTACGCAACACCTGTCAAAAGCTGTTGTAATAGTCCAATCTAATGACAATTATCCAAATCAATAATTCAAATCAGCTATTTCATAAAACTAAATAAATTAAACTTTATTTATTTTTTAAAACTTAATTTTGTAATAAGTACACAACATAATAATAATAATAAAATAAAAATAAGAACAATTTCAAAGGAAATATCACAGATCTAGATTGCCAGCATTCATTTGAAACGTCAATAAAGTTATAATTTATGACTCTGAATTTGCATGTAGTAATGGCGATAAATGACCCGAACTGCCAAAATTATGAATTTCTACACCAACTTCTAATTCTTGCATAGGCTCTTGCTCATATGAAGTTTCTACTATATGCTGTGGAATTTCCTCAGACTTTACATGATGGACGTCATTTGCACCATCGACTGTATTATCAGTCGTGTCTACAATAACTACTTCTTCTTCTTTTGCTCTGTCAGCGACCGGAATATTTTCTTCATGTTCTGGTTCTGCTATCGTTGTTGTTTCTGTTGCGGCTTTTTCTTCATTCTCTTTCAGTCGTGCTTCTTCCATTTCTTCGAATTTCATCGCGAGGTACCTGTATACAGACATTAAAATAACGCAGACATAAAGAATATTATAATTACAAATTCTTTTGGACATACTTATCGACTAATGGTCCTTGAAAGTCTTGCGGAAACTTCGGTGAAAATGGCAAAATAAATTTATAAAGACGTTCGTTAAGCACATACAATTGAGCTGTAAAGAAGGTTAATAATTTATTTAATCAACAACTATAACTGTATATCTTACCTGTTGATGAGCACTTAACATTGAACCACCTGGAAAATACATAAAATGACGAAATTAATTGATTTTTTTATTGATCAAGCACTTACCAGTCACACGTTAAAGCTGTTTGACTGAAAATTGTTCCATTTGGACATAAGAAACTAGATTTACCACCATTAAGATCGCAGTAATGCCACACTTGACATTTTGTATCGGGATCTCCAAAGAATCCCTTGTAACGTTGTTCCTTGCAACTGAATGATGTTTCTGGAATTTTATGAAAGTTTGGGTAGTCAATTCCTGGACGACCACTGTTGGGTCCTGGCGAGCCATCTCTGATGACGTCTAAAGAGGGAGAATTCATAATGAGGCAATGGTTGTCAAGAATTTAAGCTTTTTTTTTGCATCCTTACCATCATAATCATTATCATTATCTTTATTGTAATAATCAGTTTCAGCATCATTGATTTCAGCATTTTGTTGTTCCTTCTCGTGCTTATAAATTTTCAAAACATTCGGAACCGGTGTGATGCGCGTGAAATTTATATGCGGTTTTATATTCTCCGACGATGATTCAATTTCATATCGAATCGTTGTCAATTCCTCATTTTCATAATTCAAATGATGTGGATTAATGTTATATTCATGATATTGTTGCTTGGGCTGCTCTTCCTCGCTTTTATCAGTTTTATTTTGATAGCTCGGTTGGTATTCATAAATGAGCTGTTCCTCGAACTCGAATGAATCCTCTGCGGGCTGTGCTGGTTTAGCGGTTGAAATTGCAATTGGTTTTGCTGTTGTGGTGTAAATCAATGGCTTCTCATGCTGCTCGTAATGAACTGGTGGACTCATTATTTTTATGGACTTGATGTTGGATTTTATGCTGTAAAAAGAAGAAATTATGTGATTTGATTTGATAATTTAATATGCTGTATATGGACTTACTAGTTCTGTTCTGGAGGTGCGGTTGATGCATGCTTTAATGGATGTGTTGTTATGGGAATAAAGTCTCCATTCGGTTCATTGTTGGTCAATGCAATTTGACTGTAAAATATCAATAAATTGATTTAAAAGTCTTCTTAATATCATCATGACACACCTTACCTTATATAGTCATTATAGACATGTCCTTTTGCATAATTTACTGGTTTTGGTAAAGTCATTGGCTGCCAATCACCTGGAACCTTATTAGAAGGTAAGAATGGAGTATAATGCTTAATTTTTGGTAGTGACACAGGTGCTGGATGTTTTGGCTGATTATATAATTGCTGATATTTCACATGACGATTTTCAGATGGAACTGCACGATTATAAATAGGGTACATAGTTGCTGTTCGATAAGAATCTTTATTGCCATGCTCTGGTCGTGCTTTGTAAATAAATCCAGCTTGAATGTGTGGTGTTTGCTTAATTGCATTTCCATATAAATAAGCAATGCTTGGAATTGGTTGATTTGCTTTTGGCAGGGATTGGAGATACTATGGAAAATAATTGGGATTCAAACACAAAACATTGAATTGAAATGCCTTAAACTTTGTAATTTAATTTTCAATCAAATAAACTAGTTACAATCAAGTCTATAACATTGCAATACATCAAGGAACAAGACAAGTACATCAATAATCAATTCAATTATTCAAATTTCCAAGTTATCATTAAAAAATCACAATAATTCATCAATCCAGCATTAATAATGACAACAAAATCGCATAAATTTTGCAATTCCACGACTAATAGACATTCAACTTACTCTAACAAGATTTACATTATTATCTAAGTGGTGTCTCGAAGTTATGTACGGCACATATCGAGCTACTCGCTCTTCGTGATCTTTACTTTGTGGATTTTTCTTGGCATCAACATATGAAGTCTCTGTAATTGACTGCTTGTTGGTTGGCTTAACCGTGATCGCATGCGACAATTCTAATGCTGCAAAAAATAGAAACATAAAGAATAACAATTAATCATGTGACTCATGAGACTCATTGTCAGCAGGTTATTTTGAGAGCGAAAATTTTTGCTTAAAACAAAAAGCTTTTGTGTTGACTTTATTTTTGTGAATTCGCGAGGCCTTTAGATACAAACAAGTTCAATTAAGTCTCGGACAGTTGTGCAGAAGATTAATTGCTTCTATTGTGGCTCGTGGACATAAATTATCATCATGAAAACAACTTAATAAGGTGTGATAATTTTCGCATTTTTGATGTCGGAAATGCGCTTTTTAAACAATTGATGAATTATACTTTTAACATCACTTCAAGTGCCTTATTTTTATTGCACACGGAATTAGAGAAACACATCACCTTGATCTGTTTATAAATTTGTTGAAATCACTGTATCGTTAGCTATTGCATGAGATGCTAAATAGTTCCTTTGTTGTTCTTTATTTAATATCATTTGAAGGACATTATGAGACAATGTTTAACGTTTGAAAGTTGCTGTTACTTTTACATCACTTATGCTTAGTATACAGGTTGTTGGTGATGTTTAGTATGAACATTAATTGAAAGATGATTTATGTTTAACGATTTAATTTTCCTTGTGAATGGGATATTGTAGATTATTAATTATGCATCGACTTATAAGCTTCAACTATAGAATTTGCTAAAGCATTATTGATTTTATCAAACGGTTTTCTGGTTTTTGAATTTTTCTCACTATTTTCGAGATTTATTTAAAAAAAAATTTCAAATCATTTAAATTAAAAATTTGGAATTATGATATATCCAGTGTAATTCATTGATTCAAGACTATTTTGAAATCTTTGCTCACTCTTCATTGAAGCTTCTCAATAATTATAATTGCTAATAAATTTGCAAGAAGTCTAAAATTGAAGGACAAAGTATCGAAATGGAGCAAGTAATTTTGTAAAACAAATTTTGTCCCAAGAAGTAAAAGCCTTAACTTCCAAATCAATCTTTCCGTCCATTAGATGCATTTCCCCATTCCAAATCTCCATCAAACTACACATCCAGCATGTAAGCGCTAAAATAAGCTTACTTATGTAACATAATGTAATAAATTTAATCTTCTTCTCAATTAAAGCCGGTTAAATGAAAGAAAGTAAAAGTAAATGTGTTTCCAATATGCGAAACATATAGAAACCAGTTTATTTCTCAACAATAATCATGATCGCTGTTCATTTAAATTTCATCATCAGTAAAACAATTGCATTTGAGATCAAAAAAAGGAAAATAATATAAAAATTGTAGACTCAATGAACATTTGCGAAAAACAAACACACAATTTGAGGTAGGAAGGGGGTTCAAATTTTGTTAAAAATTCAATTCTAAATCTCATCTCCGGCATAAATAAATACATATATTTCAATACTTCATGCTCGCCGAAAAAAAAAAAAACTTTTGATTCATTTTATGTCTGTTGCTCACGACATATTGCCCCAAAGTGATTTGAAATAATTTTTTTTTTCAAAAAGATATTCACTTTTTTTCCTCTCTTTTTGTGGTCGTCAAAGAGTTCACTTTCATCATCATCAGCAGTCTCATACAATTTTTTTTTATATACATATAGCAAAAAGAATTAACAAAATGTGAGATATAAATAAAATATAAAAACGCAGGAATAATATATTTATGTGAACTGTTCGATGTTTTGTCACATGGTAGAGGAAGAAGGAGATTTATGACTCTTATTGAAGGAAGACAAATGGTTGCGTTTTAATTTATTTTAGGCTGATTTATGGTTGGTTTTCTTTTGAGTTTTTTTTTATAACGTGGAATCTTTTAATTGTGAGAGGATTTCCTGGATTGTGAGTTATGAGCTGATGTTTCAGTTGATATCTTTCGTAAGTCGATGGCCTAGAACTTGAGTATCTTCTCCGGATGTTATAAAAACGAGTAATCTAGCATAAAACTGACATGGAGCTAGGATTAGAATTACATGAACTTAGATTATAGGAAAACTTAAATTCCAAAGAACAAACATAATAATTAGAAACCAATAGAATCATGACATCATTCACAAAACATCCTCCTACACAGAAGCATGTAGATGCCAAATTTTTTTTAAAAAAATCCTTTGTTATTCATTGTTTTTTAAAGGTTTGAAAATTAATTTTTTATCCAACTGTATACATAATTTTTTTGTGTGTATGCTGTTAATAAAATATCAATATTATGCTTTTGTTGTGGATGGAGATAGAGGCCGACCGAGTGAGTGAGTGAGTCGGATAGCAGAAAAAGAATAAAAATTCATATATTTTTTCAATAATAATAATATTTTTTTTTGTAGATATTTTGTATAGACTATTCATAAAAAATGTATTGCAAATGCGATTATTGCTACCTACTTTCCGTAAAGTTCACAATTTTCATATATTTTGCATGACATTATAATAAAACATTCATGCTACATATAAAAAATATATTGAACAAAAAAAATTGCCTCAGAAATTCTTTTTATTAATAAAAACAGCTACAAAATAGCTTATTCGGAGATTATTTTAATTTTAACATTTTTAAGAGGTTTCATGCAACTCTCCGACTGCTATGCCTCCCATCCCCAAAATACCATCCTTATTTCATTTTATTATATATAATATTAAATTTTTTTTCTGCAAATGCAAACATTTCATTTTAAACAGATATTTGCACACTTAAGCTAAAGCATGGCGCATTCGAGATGAGCCAGATAAGCCACGGGAGTGAGAAATAGTCAACAAAATAAATCTTTTGCTCGTGATAAATTCAGCATGTTTTAAGAGTGCAGAGCTGAATTAAATTTATATTTTTTATTTTCAAAAGAGGCCAACATGAGGAAGAAAATCATGACGATGAAGAAGATTCAATCGCAGTGGATGATTGAATTATGGATTTATGAGGGATGAGATAGAAATTTATTGTTGCACTTTTTTGCGGCTTATTATGTCGGAAATGAGAGAAGGATTGTTCTTTATGGGATAAGAAGAGTTTTTTTTTGTGATAAATTGGTCGATTGAATTAGCTGGGCATTAAACTGTGATATTGAGTTATGCTAGGCAGACACCACAAAGCGGATAGAACTTGTTATTGGTGCTTAAAAAATATTAGAATGAGGGTTAAATGTCAAAAAATTATTAAATTCTGAGTTTTCTTCAACAAATTATTGTAAATAGGACTTGAACCTGTGACTTGAACCTCTTAAAATTTCTGGTCGTGTGCTTTTACTTCTAATCAATGTTTTCATGTAAGTTTGGCAGAATGTTAACTTATATTATAAAGTTGCTGTAATTAAGCTTTCCGATATTTTCACCTGCACTTATCAAGAATCTTGAGCTTCAGTATCAACTTCATTAAATCAAATGCACTTTATTAAAAAGCAATCAAAAGCAATTGCCCATAAAGGAAGTTTCCAATTAATAAAGAATAATCAGCAACATAGTTGCAAATGCTCTCCATTAATTCCATAATATAAATCACAAACTAGCATGTCAATCAAGTGTTTATTTAATTTATTATTCTACCTTAAATGTACTGTCTTGTAACTTAAATGCCGCAACAAATAAGCTTAGATTAATAAAGAAAAGTCTATTAAATAATAAATAAAGTAATTAAGCCAATATTGTCATTATTAAATAATTTGCCGTCTCATTACATCTAAGGGAATTTCATAATTTAATTTTTTTTATCGTCAACTCTCTTGACAGTAGCTTAACTTTCTCAATACATTAAGGTTCATCAAATTACTTAATTCACTTCAGAGATCATTAACTTTAATTATTTTTTGTACTTCTTCTTTTACAATTGAATGCCTCATTGATTTCTTCTAAAATTCCCACATCAAGTTGCATTTTCTACTCTTCTTTAAGCTTTTATTTACGAATCAAAATGATGATCAAAAGAATCAATCATGTGGCATTAAAAATTGAATTTTGTTTTTTTATTCACGGATCAATCAAAACAAAACCGAAATTGCTCGTATAGAAAAATGTGGAAAATTTATATATTTTTTATAACACAAAAAAAAAATTTAAATGAAAGTTCGTCTATTAAGTGGAAAATTCTGTCTGTTTGTGATTGGGATTGTTTGGAAGGGCTAGAAGCGCATATTGTGTAATTGGGTTAGTTTATTTTATAAAAGGTGAGTTAAGGGTAAAGCAAACAGTTGTTCTGAGTTGTGGTGAGGTTTAGTGGCTCAGTGACTAAGGAGGTTCGTATTTGGGTACTTAAATATGCTCATACCGGCATATCGATCATGAGTTCGAGACTCGGCAAGGACGAAATGAAGCGAACATATTTCTTTCAATCAAACGAGTGTTTCAAATCCTAATATATGAAGATAGGCTGTCTGATCCTTGATTTTTTACATCAGCAACCACTTTGAAGTGATTCCTAATCATATCTCAACTCAATTGATCGAAATTCATGTAATTCTCTCCATTCAGTAAACAAGACAGCACAGACACAAGATCACATAAATTACCCTCTATAAAAATTTGGTTCCTTATGAAAATGTTGTGCATCTGACGCTATTGTGATTGTGAAAAAAAAAATATAAAAATTATGTATATAAATGCATAATATATAGCGTGACTAGATTTCCATTGAACAACATATTTTTGGTATTTTGTTTCAATTAATTTGATATAGGTTTCACATAGATTTTTGCGGGTTGCGGGTGAAAGAAATAAATCAGATTGTCGCCTTTTTACGCAATGTATTGTGTGAGAGAACTTTTTTTTTGTAGTGTTGCCATAAAATAATATTTTATATATAGCAGAGACATAAAATTTCAATGAGAATTGTTGATATAGTGCTTTGATTGGTGAGCAGCAGGAGCAGCAGTTGAGTGCAACAGTGTCAAAAAATTTCATAAAAATCAGATTTTTTTTTTCTAGTGTGTACTTTTCAACAATGCACGCATAGATGAATAATGATTTGCGAACGATGAATGAATAAATGAAATAAAAGTCTGCGAACTTAAATGATTTG